CGCACTGGACAGGGATGCATCAACCGTTGGCGGGCTCCAACAAATCCTCACATACAAAGAACTCCTAGAAATCTCGGAAACTTAGTAACAAAATGGGTCAAGAATATGAGCAGGTAGTTCATAGAAAACTCCAGGGGCAGAGGCATAGCATCCTGCAGCACCACCGTCCCTGTGGGTACCGGTTCAAGTCCCGGCTACTCCACTTCCAGTCTAGAACCTGTTCATGTGCCTGGGAAAGCAACGGAAGAAGGCCCGAGTGTGCCTGGTCCCTGCAACTCCCGAGGGAAGCCTGGCTTTGGCATGGTTCAGCCCTGGCAGTCTGGGAGTGAGCCAGTTAATAAAAGATCTCACTCCCTTTCCTTCTCTCCTCTCTGCCTTTCAAATGAATAAAATAAACCTATTTTAGAAAAATGGAAATGAATGATCCCAGGTTACCTTTCTCTCGGAAGGACTAAGACTTCTGTGTGTGTCAATACCACAGGCAGAGGCTAAACCTACTATGCCACAGCTGCTGTCCCTAAAATAACTACCTATATGATAAGCAGAGGGAGAAAGAAGAGAGAGCTGCCACCTGCTGGTTCACTGCCCAAACCCACAGTGGCCGGGGGTAAGGCTAGCCGGAGCCAGGAGCTCAGAGCTCAATGCAGGTAGCCACGCGCAGAGCAGGTACCCAGCTGTGTAAGCCCTCACCATCTACACGTGAGCAAGAAGTCAGACTCGGGCGCTGAGCCTGAACTTGAGCCAAGGCTGACCACAGAGCAACTACAGGCACATGCCTGGCCGCTGGTCCTGGCTCCTTCTGTGCCAGCTGACTCAGGGTCGGTGCAGGAGTGAGGGGTGGGCTGCAGACAGGACCTCCCACCCCCCTGCTCCTGCCTACCAGCCCAGACAGCAACTGGGAGCTTCCTCCCAGCTGAGGTCACAGGGCCTTCCTGGGTCCCAGGTGGCCTTCGTGTCTGCAGGGTAGGGCTGGCTGCAGTGGCCTTGCCCTCCCGTGCCCTCACCCCAATCAGCTCGGTTCCCAGTGCCCCCTGAGCCAGCAAGGACAGCCTGGTCTTAAAGGAGACCCTGGGAACTCCAAAGCTTTCTGGGGCTCCAGAGAAAGGGCAGCTGGTGGCAGGGTGCGTCCATTTTAAGTGGGAGATGTGGGAGAAAAATGCATGTGTTAAATGGGCGGGGACAAAAATGATTGGACAAAAGGGTTGCTGGGTGACCTCTGACACGTGGCCCTCTGTGGGGTTCTCTGCTGTTCCCACGGGCTTGCTCTGCCCCACCCCGTGCCCTGAACGAGGGGCATGAAGCTCACTGCGAAGACCGTCTTCCCCCAGTTGCTGGTCCCAGTCGAGGTCCTAATGGGGTGCAGTTCCGGACTTTGCTGGACTGCAAGCTCACCCCTCAAAACCCACCTCAGAGTCTCCTTGGGGAAGCTCTCCCTGACTCCCTGATGGGCAGGCCCGGGAGATCCCCTCTCTGCCCTGGGGGGGCTCTCACACCCCCAGCATTCTGAGCTGGGAACCTGGGCTAGGGGATTCTCCCTCAGGCCGTGAAAGGGGAAGATAGGGTTGAGGAGATATTTGGATCTTCAAAGGGAACCGTGCTTGTCTTAAATTATTCACTCATTTAAGTAACATGCGTTGAGCATTTAGCGAAAAGCAGGATTTGTACTGGGTGCTCCCAGAGGAACCAAAATAACGGCCATGGCAAGTAAAGATGGCGCTAGACAGAGGGTGTGCGTGGAAGGAACTCGGCGTGCTCCAGCCGCAAGGACGTGCTCTCCAAGCCAGCTGCCCGGCTTGGTCAGGCCCCACCACTCGCCATCTGGCTATGTGTGGTAGAATCCTCATCCTTTCTGAGCCCCCGTTCCGTTGCCCCTGGAGGCAGAGGCCTGGCCCAGGCCTTCCGGGCAGTGCCTGTGGTGCTGGTGGGGGGAGGGGAGCAGGAGCTCCCACGCAGGGGCGGTCACGCAGGTCCTGGACATCCCAGCCTGGCGCCTGGCACGGCTCACCGGGAAGCGGGGAGGGAGATGCGCCTGCGTGTGGCGTGGGGAGAACAGGGTGACATTCCCAAGTGTTTGAAGATGTTCGGTTCTGGAGGCAGATTAGACTTCCAAATGCAACACTCCAGATACGTAAACGCGTCCTGCGTCAGTTTCCACTTGACGAGAGGAATTTTTGCCTGCAGGTTGGATCAAGAATCTTTTCCAGAGGCAGACCCTGGGTTCCAATGGCCTAGGTTCTAACTCTGCTCCTGGTGAGTGCATCCTAGCAGGCAGCCGGTGATGGCACCCACGGGGAGACCCAGGTGGGGTTCCTGGCTCCTGGCTTGAGCCTCGTCCACCTCCAACGGCTGCAGGCATTCGAGGAATGAACCAGTGAATGGGACTTTCTTCCTGCCTCTGCCTTTCAAATAAGTAAATACATACTAAAAATGCCTTCTCACGGTCAGCTCCTCGGGTTTTTGGTCCCCAGCCACTCCAGTGGCAAAGACAGGTGGGAAGGAGCAGGGCTGGCCGTGTGGCTGCAAGAGAGAGCCCCCTAGTGGCAAATGGGAAAGGGACAGGTTACGTCACCAAGACTGCATTATCAGCTTGACAAGAGCCAACGACTGTGTCCCAGTACAGTTTCTACTCCTGTATGATTTTGATGGTTGTTAAAAGGTGATTCTGTAAGGCGGGAAAGCATGGCCATCTGTAAAGTGGCTGCAAGGCCAGCACGGTGGCTGCAACAGACCAATCCTCTTCCTGCAAGTGCCAGCATCCCATATGAGCACCTGTTAGTGTCCCGGATGCTCCACTTCCCATCCAGCTCCCTGCTTGTGGCCTGGGAAAGCAGTGGAGGACGGCCCAAAGCCTTGGAACACTGCACCCACTTGGGAGACTCCCCACCCAAGAAGCTCCTGGCTTCAGATTGGCTTAGCTCTGGCCATTATAGCCATCTCCAATCCAGCTGCCCGCTCACACACACCCTGGCTCCGGCATGTGGATGCCAGCCACCCGTATAGGAGGCCGGGAGTGAGTTCCAGGTTCTGGCTTTAGCCTGTCCCTGCTGCGGCCATTGCCTCGATTCGGGCAGCAAGTCAGGAGATGAAAAATCTCTCTCCCATTCATTTAAAACATGGATTTACATCTCCGGAGAACTTTGTGTATAGGAGTTCCACCTACTGACATTTGCCAAAAATCAACAGGGGCCCACAGACTTCCCTTGTGAGCATGGGTTTGAGTCCTGGCTGCTCCTCTTCCAATCCAGCTCTGATAACAGAGCTTGGAAAGCAGCAGAGGATGGCTCAGGTCCTTGGGACCCTGCACCCACATGAGAGACCTGGACAAACTCCTGGCTTCGGGGAGGCTCAGCTGCAGCTGCGGCGGCCGTCAGATGGAAGACCTCTGTGTCATCCTGCCTTTCAAACATTTGTTAAAAAAGGAAAAAGTGCCAGGGATTGCTGTCACCTGCAGGAAGAAAACTTGGTGACAGTGAGTGACGTCGAGGCTGTGGACGCCCGTGACCCCAGCAGTTTGCACCCCGAGAGCTCTTCGGAGTGTCGCTCTCAGCATCAGAACAGCGCTTGCTCTCACAGTTTGCAAACATCCCAGGCTGACAAATAAGCGATGCCTTATTTACATAAGCAGAGTATTAAAGAGTGGCTACAAGTATCAACGTAGAGAAGCTCCGCCTTCCCTCCCCCGGATATGACAGAAGGAAGCAGCAGGCTGTAAAAGCGAGTGGTCCTCGTGGCCCCATGTGATCAATTTCAAAGCCTGTGAGAAATGACCACCTGTGTGCAGGGGGGGCAGCACTCACAGCTGTGTGCAGAAACACAATCAGACGGGACCCCAATGCGCAGTGGGCGGTGGGGGAGTCAGAGGAGGGAATTAAGGAAGGAGGGGCGCCCGGGAGGCTTAATTGCATGTGTCATGCTGTCATTCATTAAGTAGTTCAGAAGTGCCTGTGGGTGCCCGTGGGGGAAGCAGGGAGCTCTGCGAAGCTGGAGGGGAGGGTCCCCACAGTGTTCGCACACTGCCAGGCTCCAGTCTGATCCCCGCTGGCTTGCTTGCTTCCTGCTTTGCAAGCTGTGAATGGTAACATGCAGGCCTTCCCCCCCCGCCCCCAAAGGCCTGGCTGCATTTCCCAGCAGCCCCCGAGCAGGGGGTGGGGAAGAAGGGAGGAGTTCCTCCATCAGAGGGGGCCACCCTGAGGACAGCAGCACACCCAGGAAGGGCAGACCAGAGAAGGGACCTGCCCCAGCCTGGGCCTCAGTGCTCCGCTCTGCCCCCGCTGGCCTGGGGCAGTCCGCCCACAGTCGCTTCCCCGAGCCAGAGCCGTGTGTCCTGCCTGCAAGCTTGTGTCCTATTCTCTTCACACACAAGTGTCCTGGGAGGGCCCGAGACACCCGGACATCAGGCCCGACAGCCATGTTGTATGTGTGTGTGTTTAAATTGAAAGACAGAGAAATCTTCCATCTGCTGGTTCTCTCCCAGTCCCAACAGCCAGGGCTGGGCTAGGCTGAAGCCAGGAGCCGCCCCAAACACTGAGGGAGACATGGCTGGCACAACTGGGGAGGTCTTCGGCCATGTCAGCTTTTTCTGCTCAAACACAGGATTCAACTTCCCGGCCAGCCCAGGACCTGGGTGCTGGCCAGTGCCACCTGGTAGAGGGCAGCGGCTCCAGGAGCCTCCAAGCCCCTTCCCCAACCGGGTTCAGCCCTGGCATTTCCAACACCAACTGCCTCTTTTCCCTTTTTATTAAAAAATAGACCCAGAAAATATACATGCTTCAGTTCAGCCATCCTGGAGGGCTCTGAGAAGGCCAGAGTGTCATGGGAACAGGGCAGGGCGGGCTGAGGAAGGCAGGGGCCCTCGGCCATGCCCCCCAAGCAGGGCGAGGGCAGGTGGGGTGGCCATGGGGTCCTGGGAGCCCCCGCAGACAGGCCCGAATGTGGCTGCCACCCAGACTCCAGAAGGTACTGCCAGGTCGGCTGCTCCCAGCCCAGCAGGTGTGGGTGGGCTGTGGCAGACCCCTCAAGCGTTGATGGCCTTCCAGCGTTCGCTGTCCGTGCTGTTGATGCTGCCCGTGTGGCAGGGCATAGAGGCGATGTCATCCAGGTAGGCGACGCCAGCCGAGTCGAACTGGGTGCTGGAGTAGCAGGCGGCAGCGGAGGCCCCAGCAGCCCCCGGCGCCTCCAGGCCCTCCCGCCGGGCCACCGCGTAGGGCTGGGGCAGGTGCATGTCTGGCTCCTCCGTCTCGTCCACTTGGCATTTGTAGGAGAAGAGGATCTTGGGCTCAGAGCTGGTGGGCAGGGAGAGAGTCAGGGGGTACCCCCGGGGGGTGCCCAGGAAGGATCCCCCCCAGGACCAAGGCCATCATCAGGTGGGGACGGGAGCGGCCATGGAGCGCTGCAGGCTGCCCCCCACCCCGCCCATGGAGCCCTGCAGGCTGCCCAGGGCCGTGGGAATGTGGGCTGGAGCCTTTTAGGCCTGCTTTCCCTGCCAAACCCACACAGCACCTGCTCATGGTGGAAGCGCCCTGCTCCCCTCACCCCTACCGCTCCTATGGCCTTAACGGGGTCTCTTGACCCGGGGGAGCACCGCCCAGGTTTACAAGGAGGAGGCTGAGGCTGAGAGGGCCGTGTGCTGGACCAGCCTCATGGAGCTCCCTGCCTCCCTCCCCCCAGGCCTTGGCACCAGCTTAGGGAATGCTGGGACCCCTCTCTTCTCCCTGTGGCTTCTGCTGGTTAAGGACAGCGTCAGGCACAGAGCAGGTGACTGTGAACATGTCGCAGAAGGCATGAGCTAGCTAAGAGCTCTGGCATCGGGAAACAGCAATGCGGAACCACGAGTGCGTGCGCGCTCTTGGGAGGGTGCGCACACGCGCACACACGCGCGCCCCCGTGCCCGTGCACCTGGAGGGCCCCGCGGCGCGGTGCGGTTCCACCACTCACCCGAAGAAGCCCCGCAGGAAGGCCACGTAGATGAGCGGCGCGAAGAAGCTGAAGTAGAGGAAGGTGGTGGCGTCCACACAGCTGGGGCGGAAAACGTGGGTCAGGGCGGGCCTTGGGGCTCCCTGGCCGCCCCCCACCGCCAGCCCCGCCAGCCCCCCGCGTACCACAGCCCCTCGATGATGTTGGCGCACAGCAGCGCACTCCCCAGCCCCTGCAGCAGGTTGAGCAGCGCCAGGATGGCCGCGTACACGTAGAAGCTCCTCCTGGCTGCGGGGCGGATGGCGGGGACAGGGCGTGAGGCTCGGGCAGTCCCCACCAGGGCGGCCCCCACCAGAGTGTCCACCCCCCGGGGCGGCCCCACCGGCCCCCACCGCCCCCCGCCGCTCACAGGGCAGGGAGATGCGCTCCTTCAAGGGGGTCTTGGGCAGGATGACTATCAGGGAGTAGACCTGTGGGGGGTGGGCGGTGAACAGTGAGGCGCACTGCGCGGAGCCCACCCTGGGGTCCCCAGCCCCCTCCCTGGCCGGCCGCGGGCTCACCAGGAAGAAGCAGCACGAGCTGACCAGCCAGAACTGGCGGCCCCCGTGCCCGTAGATGTTGAAGTCCTCAGCCGAGAGGTGGGCGTCTGGGTACAGGATCTCCAGAGTCCCCTGCAGTGGCAGGAGCGGGGCGCGGCTCAGGCCCACCTCCCCCCGGCACAAGGCCAGGGGCGCCCCTCACCCCACATGCGCCCTGAGTGTCTGCACCCGGGGCCTGGGCAGGCTGGTCCTGGGCTGTCCTGCGAGGGTGCGTGGCAAGTGCGGGGTCGCCCCCTGTGCGGCCTGAGATGGGGACTCCAGATGTTCATTTCTTGGGTTGTTCTGTACCCCAGCTTTTGTTCAGATGGCAGGAGCTGACACCCCCCCACCCACCTCCCTTAGCCATGGCTACTGGATGGGAACCTTGGGCGGGGGTTAGGTGGTCTCTGAGGGGCCGGTCAAAGGTAAGCCTGGCTCGGGCAGGGGGAGCCCCGCCCCACAGCCCCAGCACCTCTTGCCCACCGCTGCCTCTTACCTGGGTGACCGAGTAGGCCAGGGACAGCACGGTGGTGATGGCCAGCACCCGCTTGATACTCGACTTGCTCTCCAAGTGACCTGCAAGCAAGGGGCCGGCCGGTCAGTGGGAAGCGGCCCCGGGGACAGTCACGGGTGGGTCCCTGGCTGGGGGCTGGGAGGGAGCCCAGCTGCGCACGCACCGAAGGCCAGGCCCAGGATGACCACACTCAGCTCGATGGCCAACAGGAAGAAGCGGGTGATCTCCCACAGGATCTGGACAGAGTGGGCAGAGGGTCAGCATGGAGGCCTTGCCCCCAGGCCCTGTGGCCACAGCCCGCCCCTGGGCAGCGGGCCCAGTCACACCTTGTCGGCAACCGTTGCGGCATCCGAGCTGCTGACCGTCATAGATACCACGGCCCGGGCGATGCCCACCAGCGCCACCACGAACACCTGGCAGGAAAGGGGTGTAGTCGGTGTCAGGAATGGGGGGAGAGCGGCCTGCCCCCATGTCTACAGGGGCCTTCCTTTCCTCCCAAGGGAAGAAGGCAGAGGGGAAGTGTCTCGGGAGAAGGAGGCAGGGGCAGAGTGGGCAATGAGGCCGGGTTCATAGGCAGCGAGGTCCCAGCTGTCCCTGACCAGCGCCAGCAGCCTCTAGACAGCAGGTTGGGCACGGGTCCCAGCTCTGTGCCTCAGTTTCCCCCTATGGGGAGGTGGAGGGTAAGAATAGCCCCTGCTGGCATTCGACTGTTAGAAGCACATGGTGACCGCTAGTACTGCCACGTGCATGGTTTCAATCTAAGACATGGGGACTTGGCGAGAGAAGCCCGGGGTCCAGGAGGTGCCAAGACCCTGGGGAAGAGGGGGGGTTTGCCGAAATGTCTGAGGCCCCTTCCCCCCAACACGTGAGCTGCAGACCTGCACCTGTGGGCACCATGTAGACTGGTGCAGGGCACCGCGTGGTGCTCCAAGGCGTACCATGAGCTAATGGAGAGCTGCACAGATGATGTGGCAGGGCAGAGAGGCCAAGCCCCTGGCCTGAGGCCACACAGCCACACGATCAGGGCTCAGATTCTATCTCATTCTATCTGTGCCCGTCCAGTGGGCTTCCTGAGCTCTCTGCGACACAGTGCCCCTGAGTGAGTGGGCTGGGATGGCCCTAGCTGCCCGGCCCTGTTGTGTGTTCCAGGAATGTTAAGACTCCAAGCAGCCAGCCCTCCCTTAGAGGCGAGGGGCCCTGGGGGGAGACAGCAGGATAGCCCACACCTGCAGGCTGAACTGGATCTCAGCCACAGCCCATGCCAGAAATTCCAGGGGTGAGAACGCAGCCATCCCCACAGGAAGGAGTCTTGGCCCTTGTGTGGGATGGGAGGCTGCTCTTGTCCTAGCTCCACAGTTCCTTTGTAGGGACCACTCCCCTCCCTGGTCACAGGGTCTGGCCGAGCTGACTCTCCCCTCTCCTCACCAGCCACAGGAAGGGCCTCAGGAGTAAAGCGGGGACCCAGGACATGGGGGAGCGGGCAGGTGAGGGGACGTGACTGTGGCAAGGCCCTGAATACATCAGTTGACCCCTGGGATCCAGCCATGCCCCATTCAAGGGGTAGCTAACATTGCTTTTTAGCACCGAAGCCGCTGGCGTGGACTCACCAGGATGTAGAAGGTGATAAAAATGGGGCTGGAAGTGAGGCGGATCTTGGCCCTGGCCAGCGGAAGCTTCCAGAGGAGGAAGATGAAGAAGAGCACGTTGGGGATGAGCAACAGGAGGTCCCAGTACCGGACCCTGGGAGAGTTAGAGACGTCAGAGAAGCCGCTGCTTGAGGACGCTCGGGCGAGCTCGTGGCTCCCCTCCCTCCTCACACCTGTCCATTCCCTCCTCACACCTGTCCCCTCCCCTCCTCCCAAGCCCTCCACTGCCTGGCCTCTCTCCTCACACCTTCTCCCTCCTCTTCCCCGGCTGGCCAGCCTTACCTGGAGGTGCCAATGTCCTCATAGAGCAGCAGCAGGCAGCGGTGGGGCACGCTGATGTTGGGGGCCACGGGCGGAGGTGACGCTGTTCTGCCATTGGCCCCCGCTGCCTCTTCCAAGGTGTCCATCCCGCCAGCAGGGGCCCTGTGGGGGTGAGAGCCACCAGGGTGAGACGCGCAGAGGCCCTCCCCATGCCGGGAGCTCAGCCTCCTGGATTGGGGGGGACGTGGAGGGCACCCCCACGCTCAGGCCTGCCTGGTGGACTTTAAAGGGGTGTCTCCGTGGGGCCTGGCAGTGGAGGTGGTGAGCAGAGGTGACGGGCACAGCTCGAACGCCCGCTCCGACCTCCTGGTCTGTCCCGTGTCCGAGTCCCCACCCAAGGGCACCTCCAACAGGTCCTGTGCGTGGGGAGATCCTGGCACCCAGCACCTGTGGTTCCACTCTGCCTGCCACACAGCTGCTGAGGGTCACGGCCGAGTATCGCACACTGCCTGAGCTGGGCCCTCCCTCCGCTGCTGCCGCCTTGGGACATGGCTGGGGGACACACAGGCCTTCGAGTGAAGACGTGGCCGAGGGAACTGGGCTCCCAAGGCCGGGGGCAGCTGAGCACGGCAAGCCAGGAGTCCAGCTTGGTGTCCCTGAGGAAAGGCGGCAGGCGCTTCTGCAGAGGGCCACTTAGCAGGGGCGGCGTTGAGAGCACTGACTGCTGCTGTTGCTGTCTCCATCTGCAGCAGAAACGGTACAGACAGGCATTCATGACAAGCCGCAGGCTGCGGGCAGCCAGGGACCTGCTGGCAGTGGGATACACAGGAGGGAAGGTTCATGCCAGGGAATTCTCAGCAGCCTGAAGAACGCTCGGCAGCACCCGGCCACAGCCCACCTTTACTGGGCCCGGTGTCGAGTGGAGCCAGGCATGCCACCTGCAGGTGGTATGGTCCATGCAGGAATGCGGTCCAGGCTGGCCCCCGTGTAGGTGGAGGGCACATCTGTTTCAGGGGGCCTGAGCCGGGTGGTGGTCACGCAGGGATGTTCACACACCCGTGAGGGGCACGCTGGAGGTTACTTCAGCAGAGGTCAGAGGTCAGAAGAATGACATGTCCAGGGCACAGCCCAGGGGGACACACCGCCGTGTGATGAGAGATGTGAACAAAGAAGCTCCCCCCTCCCTGATTCCTGCACTTGCTTTGCAGACCTTACGGAGCACCTGCCTTGGGCCAGGTTCAAGTGCAGGCACTCAGAAGCAGCAGACTGCAGGGCAAGCTAGGCCTGCCCCCACACAGCCTTCCACTCCAAGGGCGCTCACCGCGTGGGGGAGGCGGGCATCTCAACAGAAGTGTAAAGAAGGTTTAACTGGGCGGGGCAGACAATGGGAGGCACAGAAAAGACTCCGGGGCCTGATGCCAGGGCGGCCCCCGTGTGTGTCCTTGGGCAGCTGGCACCCAGAGCGACATGCAACAGACACAGGTAATCTGTCTTGTTTCCACAGGCACCAGCAGGGGAGAACCCCAGACAACAGCAAACACTCCAGCCCTGAGGTGGGAGTGGGCACAGGCCTGCCTAGAGGGCGGAATGCTGGCAGGTGCGGCCGCAGAGGCGGGACGAACTCAGAGGCTGGTGGGACCAGGTCAGAGGGCACCACGTGCCCAGGTGCTGCCACAGGAGGGCTGTTGGAGGGGAGCTGGAGGGATCAGAAGTGCCCCCGACCCTGGGGAGTGACTGCACCAGTTCTGGCACGAGAGGACAGGGCTTTGCCTGAGGGTGGGGGCAGCACAGGATCTGGGCCTGGCCAATCAGGGTGTTACATCACCCTGGCCAAGTATGAAACACCCCAACAGGTATGAAACTTAACAAGGAGTTGCACCCGGCCAAGAGTTGGGGGCCTTCCTCGGGTCCCTGCATCCAGTCGCACCTGCCACCTAACATGTCCCGGTTACAAAGCGCAGTTGGTTCTGTTCCCTTCCAGCTTAGGCCCATCTGAGTCTGGGTTCTTGGGTTCGCTGGAGGGGCTTCCAGCTAATACAGGGTCCAGAGTCAAGCAGCCCTGGGCTGCACGTCTGGCTTTGCCCCGTGCCTGCCATGAGACCTGGGCAGGTCACCTCCACTGAATGTCAAGGGGACAGTCAGCCACCACCTGACAAGGTAGGGTAAAGAAACCGTGTCTGTCTGCCACAGTGACGGGCACCTGTGGCTTACCGGGGGAGGGCTGCGTGGGGTGTGAGGAAAGGAGGGAGGGATGTCGGATGCTCTCTTGTACCCACTCTGCCAGTCAGCAACCTGCTAGTCTGGCAGGTGCCGCTCTCCAAGCCTGCGCTCCTCCACCTGAGGGTCAAGGACACAGGCCTGCCCCAGAGCTGCGGACCGCTCTGGAGTTGGGAGGTTGTTGCCAGCACACGTCCCCGCTGACGCAGTCACCGACAGTGTGGTTTTAAAGCACGTCAGTGCAGACCTGCTGCACGCACACGGGGGCCTCAGGGTTCCCTAAGGAAGCGGGAACATGTGCTTGCATCAGTTCTGGCCCCATTGTACGGAGAGGAAAGCAGAGGCCCACAGAGGCTGGGCCCCTGGCCTGGTCTGAGTGCTGCATCACACACTCTGCATTTCCTTCTGCTGGGTTCCAGGCCTTGGGGCCACCAGCTCCTGGGAAAGGTGAAGGCAGGAGGGCTGGTTGAGGACAGGGCAGGGCGTCCCCAGGGACTGCTAGAGGCAGAGCCCGTAGACAACTGGGTCGCCAGGGGCAACCCCAGGCCTCAGGAGCAGAGAAACTGGGGCATACTGGGAGATAGCGCTGGTGGCCTCATTAACATTCCAGAGGCCACCTCCACAGGCCAGCTCTCCTCCCAACACCTGCCCAGCCACCAGCCAGTGCAGCAGGCTGCCCCTGGTCCTGGGCACGCACTCTGTGCCCCTGGGCTAGGGTCCTGCCTTCTCTAGGCTTCCCCACCTCTCGGCCGCGTCTCACCTCACCTCTCCCAGGGGTCACCCTGAGCCGGGCAGAGGGGCTGTGGGGCCTCTGAGTGTGCCTTCCACCCCGAGGAGGCTGTGGAGCTTTCAAACCCTGGAACCGCAACCGGATAGCAAGGACTCCATGTGACAGGCGCCCTGCCCCCACGGTCCTTCCGCCCTTGGCATGGGGGTGGGGTGGACACTGACCTAGAGAGGGCCCTGCAGCCAGAGGCCCAGACAGCAGGGCTAAGTGCTGTGTGGCACAGTGGGTTAAGCCTGCACTATCCTGCTGTGAGTGCCAGCTACACAGCTTGGGAGCCCACTTCCTGCCAGTGCACTTGGGGGGTAGCAGGTGGCTCAAGTGCTTAGGCATCCATGTGGGAGACCCAGCTGAAGTTCCTGGGTTCTGGCTTTGCCCTGCCCTGGCCACTGCAACCAAACCAAACCAAACAACAACAAAACAAAGCCCCGGGGGGCAAAGGCAAGGGAGACCAGCGCCCCTCCCTCCCCTGGGCCTCCAAGGCCCGGTGTCGGCCCACCCTGCCAGGCTCTCCGTCCCACCCTGCCAGTCGCGTCTCCCACTGGCCAGCCCTGGGCTCTCATTTCCTCTTAAGCTGTTCTTAACCCCACGGGAGCCCTGTGCCTGTTCTGATCCTCTGGCTTTGCCTGCTTGCTCAGGCCCCAGCTGTCTGGGAACCTCCTCCAAGCAGCCCTCCTGGATCATGTCCCTGTGTAAGCCACCTGCCTTTTCCTTACTGCCTGGGGCCTCTCCCGGCTGTGTGTTTACACGGGGTCTGAGAACCAACAGCCGTGCCTGGTACAGCCCAAGTTCTCCAGAGAACACTGCAGTGTGAACAAGGGACCCTCTAGCACCCGGCCTGGGGAAGTTGGGAAAGGGGACGCTGCGCCCTTCTCGCTGCAGAGTAGCCAGGCCAAGTCGGCCCCCACCCTTATTCCACACGCCAGGAGGAAGTCTGGAGCCTGGGGGAGGGGAAAAGGGGTCCCCCGTGGGACAGTGAAGCCCCAGGCTGGACTGAGCCTCAGCTGACACACGACACTCCCCAGGGCCTTGAAGCTGCCGGGAAGTCGGGGGGCCTGGAGCTCTGCCCCGGGGCCTGCAGCAGCTTTGTGGGGCCCTTCCTGACCCTCTCCCCAGGCCCTGAGACGTCCCCAAGGCCTCCTTCTGAGGCTGCGCCCCTCGAGTGGTCAGAGGGTCACCCCAGCAGAGAGGACCTGGGGGTGGGCGGGTCCCGATCCCTGGTCCCAAAGAGCCAAGGCAGCGATTGGGGCGTCACGGCGCGGCGAGGGACAGGGACAGGGTCATCTCCTTACCTGAGCTTCGGGCCGCGCTCAGGCCCGGCCCTCTGGGCCGCCCATCGGCCGCCGGCAGCCGGGTGCGTGAACCCCGCACAGGCCGCGGGACCCGGGCCTCCAGTGCAGGGTTCGGCAGAGAGGCTAGCTCGGGCCGGGGAGCGTCGTTCAAGTGCGGCGGACGGCTGACTCCGCGAAAAGACACGCCGCGGCGAGCGCGCCAAACCCGGACGCCCGGACGCCCGGACGCCCCGCAGCCCTTCCCGGCTCCGGCGACCCAGAAGGCGGGCGCGTCTTTTCCGTCCGGGCGAAACTGCAAAACAACCACTGTCCCTACTAGTGCCACCTAGGCCCGCCCCCACAACCGCAGTAGCCTATAGGAAAGGATCTTCGCCGAAAGGGAAACCGAAGAGACCAATCATATTTCCAAGGGGGTGGGGCGAGCTGCTGACCTCTTAAAGAGACAGCACGCCCCCGCTGCGTGCGGAAGAAGTCGGGTGCGTTTCTCACCGAAAAGCGGTCCACTTGAGCGGACTCGAGTCATGGATGCTCCACCTCTTGCCACCCTCCACTTCTGGCACTTTCCAGGTGTCAGCAGCTGGGCTACTGAACTGATCTGGGAGACCGGCGCCCAGCAGGCGGGCCTGACTGTCCGGGGCGGAGTCTCAAGGATCCTCCCCGTCGCGTGCCTCCCGCCTGCGGGGCAACCCGCAATGGCCACCTGCGTGTCACCTGGGCAGGGAGGCAGAGGGACGCAAAGCCCTCCTGTGAAGGACGCGTCTGCCCCGCGTGCCTCGCCCCCTCGACCTTCTCCGTCAGGGCGGACCAGCATTTTACTGGGCGTCGTCTGGACGCCCGCCCCAAACCCTAACAACGCTGCCGGAGTGGTCATTAGCCACCTTGCTCACTGTTGACGGCAGGGCACCCTGAGGCCCAGCGTTTGGGACGTACTCCTTCCATCGGGCAGCTTCCTCTGGGAAGCCTTCCCTGATTGCTCCTGTCATTGTCCCCCTCACTTGGTGAGGCCCCACGGACTCGGGGTCCTCATCTTCTCTCCACCCCCTCCTCTTTCTCCATGCACCTGTTCCTGGGCTCCACCAAGCCGCATCTGGCAGGCTCCCCGTCCCATCACCTGTTCCAGGCTTTCTTGAGGAGCAGCTAGCTGTCCACCATGACCTCCAACCCTCACATCAGGGTCCTGAGGACAGCCATCTGGGCAATCCTGACACCCAGTTATTACCGCCGCTCCCTCCACGCTCCAAATTACACACCCGTGCCTGCCTAGCTGGGCTGGAAGCATCTGTGTTCTAACCGTGAGGAGGCTGGGAGCGGAGACCACCACCCTCATGCGGGGACTTGGTTTTTTCCCAGTCTGGACCGCGGCTGGGACCAGTTGGCGGGAGGGAAGCGGGGAGCAAGGGTTGTGTCGGTGCTGCCATTCGCGGCTGTGGTCCCCGTCCTACCGCAGGGGCTGAGGGAGCCAGCCCACGCCTCCCGGGGCCAGGCTGGCCCTGTGACTCGCCGTGGGCTCCCTGATAGCCATCCCAGAGCCACGAGGTGGGATGGTATCAGCGAAGTCACACGGCTGTCCGGTCACAGGAGTGGATGACCATGCCCGGGGTTGGCCTCTTGGTTTGTGATGGAGAGTTATCATGGTGATGAAGTGAGGGACCAACGTTTGTGGGCGCAGGGAGCCAAGTGTCCACTTACTACGCGGGTCTCCCCTATCACAGGGCCAGCATGGTTAGTGTGGGGACAGTCACGAAGCCTCAGAACACCAGGTTCTAGGCCACGCTCGCTTCCTCCGCAAAATGGCCGCAGCAAAACTCAGACGGTGTGGCCAGCAGGTGGCGCTGCCCCTCGCTAGGCCCAGCAGCGTCTCCAGCCTTCAGGACTTCTCCCGGGAGGCGGAGCCGAGAGCGGGTTGGGCGGGGACAGACTCTGGTCGGCCCTATGGGATCACCGGGTAGAGCGGTGTGGGCGGGGCCGAACTCTGGCCCGCCCCCTGGGTGCCCTGCCGAGAGGGGGCGTGGCGCCACGCGCCGCTCTGAGGTCGACGTCATGACGTCGCCTCTTTCCGGACGCTTCCCGGGCTCTGCCGGGTCACGTGAGCCACTTTTCGCGCGAAAACTGGTTTGCTGCAGGAGTGGAGGGGAAGACGCGGTGCGGCCATGGCGGTGAGCTCGCAGTGCGGGGCGCGCGGGGCCCCGGCGGGGTCGGGATGCGGCGTCTGCGCGCTCCCCTGGGTCCCCGGCGCCCGGCCGGGGTCGGGGGCGCGCTCGTTGGGGGCGCGCTGAGCGCCGCCCGTGTGTGCGCTGACTTGCGTCGGTGGGGCAGGATCCGCCGAATCGAGTCCGCGTGGTGGTTTCCGCCCCGCCGCTGTCGTTTCTTTATTTCTCACCTTCCGGGTTCCCCTGGAGCCTCAGGTGCAAAGATCTTGCTGGAAGCGGGGGTTACCGGGTGTTGGCGGGCGGTCCCCGGTGCTCGGCGGGGGCAGGAAGGACGGAGGCGAGGTCGGGCCTCACGCACTGCCTCCGTCTTCTCTTGCAGGAATCTTCCGAGTCCTTCACCGTGGCGTCCAGCCCGGCCCGCCGGCGCCGAAGCAACGATCCGCTCACCTCCAGCCCCGGCCGGAGCTCCCGGCGCACCGACGCCCTGACCTCCAGCCCCGGCCGCGACCTTCCTCCCTTCGAGGATGAGTCTGAGGGGCTGCTGGGAACCGAGGGGCCCCTGGAGGAGGAGGAGGACGGCGAGGAGCTTATTGGGGAGGGCATGGAGAGGTACTTTGGTCCAAGGGCCTGGACTTTTTCTCCTGGGGCAGAGAGCTTTGCAGAGCGCACAGGCATCTTGCCTTTGGGAGACGTGGGGGCAGGTGGTTTGGGTGCGGCTTGGTCCGGGGTCTGTGGGGGTGGCACACCCCAACACAGGTCCTGGAAGGACAGGGTCTCAAGGCCCTTGGGAGCAGCTACCCCCCAGGGCTCCAGGAGGGCTGCCAACCCAGAATGATGGAGACTGTGAGCCTGGTGTTCCACGACTAGCCGAATAAATAGGTTTATATGTGATTAGGGTGATGAGTGGAATGTGTGAGTTATCCTAGTGGATGTGGCTTGGTCCATCCTTGGGCTTCACTGACCATTTCCCTGATTACTGATGCCGTGAGTGCCTTTCTGTGTGTTGATTGGCTGTTTGTATCTCTTGTTCAGTTCCTTTGCCTGTTTTTTGATGAGGATGTTTGGGTTTTTGTTATTAAATTTTTTTTAAAGATTTATTTTTATTACGAAGTCAGATATACAGAGAGGAGGAGAGACAGAGAGGAAGATCTTCTGTCCGATGATTCACTCCCCAAGTAAACGCAACAGCCAGTGCTATGCCGGTCCGAAGCCAGGATCCAGGAACTTCTTCCGGGTCTCCCACACAGGTGCAGGGTCCCAAAGCTTTGGGCCGTCCTCGACTGCTTTCCCAGGCCACAAGCAGGGAGCTGGATGGGAAGTGGAGCTGCCGGGATTAGACCTGGCGCCCATATGGGATCCTGGCGCGTTCAAGGCGAGGACTTTAGGCTCTAGGCCACACCACTGGGCCCTATTATTAAATTTTTAATGAAGACATATTCATTCAACTTGGAAGGGAGAGGGAGCAAGCTCTGCCATCCTCTGGTTCACTCCCCAAATGGCCACAGCACTGGAGCTGAGCTGATCCAAAGGCAGGAGCTGCTTCGAGGTCGCCCATGTGGGTGCAGGTTCCCAAGCGCTTGAACCATCCTCTGCTGCTTTCTCAGCCGTGAGGAAGTGGAACAGCTGGGAACGGCTGGTGCCCAAACAGGATGTTGGCACCACAGGCTGAGGGCTAACCTGTGCACTGGCTCTAGGGTTTTATTTTATTTATTTATTTTTTTATTTATTTTTAATGGAAAGGTAGATATACAGAGAGGAGAAGAGACGTCCTTAACCCATGGCTTGCCATTGTCATTCTTTTACGCTTTTGAGGTGCGAGGGTTTTAAGATTCGGTGAAGTCACACAGACACACGTGAACTCCCTGGGGGTCTTTTGTGTGGACTGAGCCTCGCAGCCGGACAGTTCTGACCCTGACCAGCTCACAGATTTACTGGCGCTGGGTCCTTCGTTCGGGTGCAGTGATGGAGGGGATGTGATTGGTTGTTTGACAGCACTGACTGCCCAAAAAAACCCAGCGAAAGGATTGGAGGGGAATGTCTTGGGGTGGCATCGTGGGGTCGGGACTACCAGGGCTGGTGGATGGCCACCGGGGAAGGGAGCCCTGGTGGTCTTGCTGGCGGGGGCAGCGAGTGTGTGGCCGTCTCAGAGGCAGCGCAAGCCCTTGCTCGGCATCGGGGAGCCCGAGGGTGACAGGATCAGAGAGAAGCAGGGAGAGGTCAGTGGCACTGGGAAGCTTGAAACCGTCAGGGCTCCTTCCTGTTGGATGTTCAGAGCCACCTGCCCCGTGGTGTCCTGCATGGGGCGGCATAGTTGCTCTGAGTGAGCGTGTTTCTGTCTGCAGGCTGACTTCCGCTCCACAGTGTGGACAAACCATGCACTGTAGAGCCCTCCAGGTGTCTGACCCGTGTAGGCCAGGGCTCCCGGGTGGGTTTTCTCCTCGGTATTAACTGCACTCCCTGTGGACCTTCGCAGGGACTACCGTGCCATCCCAGAACTGGACACCTACGAGGCCGAGGGACTGGCGCTGGATGACGAGGACGTGGAGGAGCTGACGGCCAGTCAGAGGGAGGCGGCCGAACGGGTCATGCGACAGCGTGACCGGGAGGCCGGCCGGGGCCTGGGCCGCATGCGCCGTGGGCTCCTGTACGGTAGGTTTGGATACATGCCTGCCAAGGGGGCCTGGGGAGGCTGGAAGGAGATACCAGGAAAGACCTCCCCTCGTTTGCAGACAGCGACGAGGAGGACGAGGAGCGGCCCACCCGCAAGCGCCGGCAGGTGGAGCGGGCCACGGAGGACGGCGAGGAGGACGAGGAGATGATTGAGAGCATCGAGAACCTGGAGGACCTCAAGGGCCACTCGGTGCGTGAGTGGGTGAGCATGGCCGGCCCGCGGCTGGAGATCCACCACCGCTTCAAGAACTTCCTGCGCACGCACGTGGACAGCCACGGCCACAACGTCTTCAAAGAACGCATCAGCGACATGTGCAAAGGTGGGGCTCCTGCACCCCCTGCCATCTCCCTGGTAGGGTCATCGTGTTGGCCTTAGCAAGCTGCGGGGAATGTCCGGCGGCCTTCAGAGAGACACAGGTGTCCAGGGTCTGCAGTGGGACTCCTGGCTGTGCCGGGACCAGCCAGCTGGGTTCCGCTCTGAGTATCTGAAAGGTGCAGTGACACTGGGAGAGCGCTTCCACTCACAGGAGCGCTCCCCAAATGGTCACAATGGCTAGTGCCAGGGGCCTGGAACTCCATCTGAGTCTCCCATGCGGGTGACAGGGGCCCACACACCCGGGCTGTCTTGCGCTGCTTTCCCAGACAGGGCCGCTGGCACTTCTGTAGAGAATGCAGGGAGTCACGGGTGGCAGTTTAAGCTGCGGTACTCTGCTATCCCCACCAAGGTGGATTTTGATAGGCTTTAAAGTGGGCAGGTTTCATGTGGAAGTGTGGGCTGCTGCCTTGATTGGAAAGTAGCGACGTGTGCCTGTGTTTCTGGGTTGGGCTGCATCGATCCCCTGCTTCCTCGTGAGGCGGGAGTGACCTCCTCGGCCTACGGCAGCCAGTACTGATGCTCACGCTCTGGCCCCCAGAGAACCGGGAAAGCCTGGTGGTGAACTACGAGGACCTGGCGGCCCGGGAGCACGTGCTGGCTTACTTCCTGCCCGAGGCGCCGGCCGAGCTGCTGCAGATCTTCGATGAGGCTGCCCTGGAGGTGGTGCTGGCCATGTACCCCAAGTATGACCGCATCGCCAGCCACATCCACGTGCGCATCTCCCACCTCCCTCTGGTGGAGGAGCTGCGCTCGCTCAGGTGAGGCCGAGGGGCCTTAGAGCTCAGATGCTGCAGAAAGGTGGCTGTGCGGGTGGGTAGGGTGTGGCTGGGAAGGGCCTCATGCCAGCGGAGCTCTGGTTGTGCGGGAGCATCTTGGGGTGGGTCCCGAGCCTGGCCCCCTCCCGGATTGTGTGATCGAGTCCTGCTGGGCAACCCGGGCCCCGCAGGAGCCGAGCAGCCTGCTCAGCCTCTGGTGTTTCCCTGTCTTCCTCCACAGGCAGCTGCACTTGAACCAGCTGATCCGCACCAGTGGGGTGGTGACCAGCTGCACAGGCGTCCTGCCCCAGCTCAGCATGGTCAAGTACAACTGCAACAAGTGCAACTTCGTCCTGGGGCCCTTCTGCCAGTCCCAGAACCAGGAGGTGAAGCCGGGCTCCTGCCCCGAGTGTCAGTCTGCTGGCCCCTTCGAGGTCAACATGGAAGAGGTGAGCGCGCCCAGGCTGCAGCGGCTGACCGTCCTCGGGCTTGTGCAAGTCGGGCACGCACAGCTGCGGGCAGCAGGGAGCCTGGTGGACCCATGTCTGTCGGGTCAGCGGTTTGGTTTGGCCCACGTGCTGTTAGCAAGAATGCAGACAAAATTTCCTTTTTAGTCATTTGTTTATTCGAAGGGCAGAGTTAGAGAGGAAAACACAGGGTTTTCTTCCATCTGCTGGTTCACTCCCCTAAATGGCCACAGTGGCTGTGGCTGGGCCACAGGGAAGCCAGATTTTATTTATTTGAGTTACCGAGAGGTCTTCTGTCTGCTTGTTCGCTTCCCCAGATGTCTGCTATGGCCAGAAATAGGTGAGGCTGAAGCCGGGAGCCTGGGGCTTCATCCGGGTCTCCCACGACAGGTGGCAGGGTCCCACTTGGACCAACTTGCATTGCTCTGTTCCATTTCACTGTCAGGAAGCTGGGCTGGAAGAGGAGCAGCTGGGACATTTTGAACTGGAGTGTGTGCCCACACTCATTGTCTTTGATTCAGTGGCGAGGTAATGGATAGGAAATTGACAACAGTAGCAGAACAGAGAGGGAGCATTCGCTCTGAGCCAGGCCAAAGCCGGAAGCCGGGGACGCCTTCCCGATTTCCCACGAGCGGCACAGGTCCACTTACTTCCCAGGCATGTTGAGAGAACCGGGGACTCAAACTGGACCTCCAGTATAGAATGCCGCTATTATCAGCTGCCGCTTAGCTGCTGTGCACCAAGGGCTGGGCTGGATGCCGGGTCTGTGGCTTTATTGAGTCACTGTGACCTTGCTGCCACAGCACCAGCATTCCCATATGTCACGTGCTCCAGATCACAGCCAGGATTTGAACCCCAGCAGCCTGGCTCACCGTGGCTCTTCTGTGTGGCATCTTACAGGTGCTTGAGGGCAGCAGGAAGAAGGCGTTGCAGGGTGGCGCTGGCTAGGGCTGGGTCTGCCTGTCCCTGACCTGGGGCATGGCGAGCTCCTTTCTGCCGTTGTCATCTCTGTTTGTGGGCCTGAGGTCAAGGTCAGTGACCTACAGTGGAGCCAGGGAAGGGCGGCCGAGCCTCTGTGTGTCCTTCACAGACCGTCTATCAGAACTACCAGCGCATCCGCATTCAGGAGAGCCCAGGCAAGGTGGCAGCTGGCCGGCTGCCCCGCTCCAAGGACGCCATCCTCCTGGCTGACCTGGTGGACAGCTGCAAGCCGGGAGACGAGATCGTACGTGGAAGCACTCGCGTGGGGGCGGGAAGGGAGCAGGGGCACCTGGCTGAGAACTGGACAAAGAGCTCTTCCTTGGGGGCTCGGCTGGGGCTACCGTGGTTTTCCTTTGGTTTTGCCGGCTGCCCAAGCGTAGGGGGGAGGACGAGAAGTGGGAGGAAAGCGGATCAAGGCAGCCGGACCTAGCTCCCGCTTGGCCCCTGACTTCCGCCCTCTGCTGTTCTAGGAGCTGACGGGCATCTACCACAACAACTACGACGGCTCCCTCAACACCGCCAACGGCTTTCCCGTCTTTGCCACTGTCATCCTGGCCAACCATGTGGCCAAGAAGGACAACAAGGTCGCCGTGGGGGAGCTGACGGACGAGGACGTGAAGATGATCACGAGCCTGTCGAAGGACCAGCAGATTGGGGAGAAGGCAGGTGGAAGGGGCCGGGGCTGCTGGGGAGCGGTGGCTGCAGGGTCCTCGCTGCTGACTTCCTGCTTAGGAACCAGGCGACTTTCTTACTGTAATTCACAGCCTGAGGCTCCATCACTGCCTGTGCCCGTGGGGTGGTTCTTGCATGTGGGCTTTGGGGATGGGGTACCCCTGGGATGGGGTGTCCCTGCTCTGGCTCTGTGGTGTGTGAGCTGGGAGCTGAGGCCACCTGCTGGCCCTTGCATATGGGTAAGCCTTGGCTTTTCCGCCGCCCCAGCGGACAGCTCCACCTTGGCCCCGGGTGAAGGTGGAGGCCGAGTGGCAGAGTGACCCTGGCTCGTGGACCTGCCCTGGCAACCCGCCCTGACCCATGGCTGTTGATTGCTCTGGCGGGAAGGCTCCCCACGTGGCTTTGTGGTAGTGTCTTCACGTAGGCATTTCACGGGGTTGGGGGTGTTGGATTTCTCTGTCAGACTTCCGGTCTGGACTCCTTCCTGCTCACACATGGCTCCTTATTCTCATCTCGTATTCTTTCCTTTTGTCTTTATCCACTCATTTTTCTGTTGGGTTTTGTTGCTGGATTTTTTATTTTATTATTATTATTATTATTTTTAAAGATTTATTTCTGTATTTGTAAGGCAAGGAGACAGATCTTCTATCCGCTAGCTCTCCTTAATGCTGCAGCAGCCAGGGTGGGTCCAGGAGGCAAGACCTCCATCCCAGCCTCCACAGGTGCAGGGCCCACACCCTGGGCCGTCTCCCACTGCTCTCCCAGTACAGCAGCAGGGAGTTGGGTTGGAAGCGGATTAAGACCCATACTGGCACTCCGATGCAGGGTGTGGGATGCCAGTGTCACCATGGGTGGCTTACTGCTACACCCTGTGCCCTGGCTCCTCCACGCAGAGCAGGCACGCCACTCTTGCTTCCACTCGGGCCAAAGAAGCAGGTGCTGAGGGCTCCACTTTCCCATGGGCTTGCTAACCGAGTTGTGTCTTTTGAGGTGGGTGTGAGCCCCCCAGGGACAGGGTCAGCCCGGCTGGTGAGTGAAGGCTGTAGTGACTAGCTGAGTCTCTGCCCAGGCTGCAGAGCGCCTCACTGGTCCTGAGTGCAGTGGCCCAGGGTGACCCTTGGCACCCACGCACAGCCCTGCCTGTCCCAGTTCCTGTGCCTTGTGTCTGCTTGTTGGCTTCCCTCCACATGCATGTACTCTCCTTGCTTCTCTTCCTGAGGGCACAGCTGTCCACTGTCCCAGGTCCCTTGGCTCTGCCTTTCAAGTAAATTACTTACATCTCTAAAAAAAAAAAGACAGCCAGTATGAGTGGTCCCTGGCTGTGGTGACTGCTGACGGCTTCCAGTTGGTAGAGAAGTCAGAACTGCCAAAGCTGCTGTAGGGAGGTTTGGAACATGCCTGTACAGCCTGCGGATCCCATCTTGGACTCTCGGTGTCCATGCAGGGAGTGCCTGAGGGGCTTTGGGGAACCCAGCCTAAGCCATTTGGGGCATGAGCTTTGGGTCCAGTCATACCTCTGTCATCCAGGTGACATGGTGGGACCCGAGCCTGGCTTCTCTGTAGAGTGGCATGAACCCAGGGGTGTTGGAGGCTGAAATGAAATGATGTTTAGAAAACAGTGACTCCTGGAGGATCTGCCATTTGCTTCTGTCCCACCCATCAGCTTGGGGCAAACCTGTTAATTCTCCTGATGAGCCGGGTCCATGGCAGAGGGCACAGCGGGTAGCATGAACCCTGGCGCATTTGCTCCCTGCAGTCACCCAGGGAGGCCTGCCAGACGCTGCATTGGTGTGGGCAGCACATGGGTGTAAATAAACTGGCAGTGGTCACATGGCCAGTGTGGCTCCAGAGACTGCATTCCCTACCCTGTGTCCCGCAGCTGCTTCATCCAGTTGCCACTTAACTCGGCCCGGAGAGCTTGCCGTCACAGAAAACTTGTGTGTGTAAGTGTGTGTGAGATATTGTGACGACAGGGCTGAGTGCACGATGTGCTGCTATAGCAACGCCACACGCTGGGGGGTTTTGAGAAGCAGAGAAAGAAGATGATTCCACCTGCTGGTTCACCTCCCTTTAAAATTTTCTGGGTCCAATGTGGTAGCCTAGTGGCTAAAGTCCTCGCCCTGTATGTGCTGGGATCCCATATGGGCACTGGTTCATATTCCAGCTGCTCCATTTCCCACCTAGCTTCCTGCCTGTGGCCTGTGGGAAGGCAGCAGAGGATGGCCCAAAGCCTTGGGACCCTGTACCCACATGGGAGACTCGGAGGAAGGTCCTGGGCAAGGAGCCTCTCTGCGAGCTGTGCATCCCACCAGGAGGAGCCTGGTGGCACGAATGGGAGTGTTCTAATTCCTCTCCATTTGCTGGTCTTGGGAACCCTGGGCTGATCTGCAGCCGCCTCCCGAGAGACTGTCGTGTCAGCAGGGATCTGTCTTCCTGACTTCTGTTGATGGGACCCTGGCTGTCTTGGGGTCACTTTTTTGCCCTTCTGGCAGAAGCTACTGCAGGCTGCTCTGATCTTAAGAGTACGTGAAGTGTGTCGGCAGACGGGGTGGGCCACCTTGTCAGGGCCAGTGCCAGCTTCCTGCTCCGGAGCCCACCTGCCCAGGCTTCTCATTCTGTCCAGTTAGGAGGGAAACAGGGAGCCTTAGCATTGCCCCTGCAGGACCGGGGCGGGGTGGGCAAGGCAGCTGGCACTGAGGGTTTTAAGCAGTACAGCTATGCAGTTCCTCCAAGCGAGAGTTTTCTTTGATGTCACTAAGTCTGTCTCTGAAATCGACCCGGAGTTTACATTTTCTCTCTGACACGCTCCAGAACTGTCCCCGAGACTTACTGGTCTCAGCCTCCTGGAGGACACGGCTCCAGGACATAGTGGGTCTTGCTCGCCTGGCGCCTGCCTCTAAGGGCTGGGCTGGTTACCCCCTGCCCCCGGGCAAGGCGGCGGGCACGGTGACACCTGCTGTCTCTTCCACACAGGGCACTGCTCTGGCTGGGGCTCTTGTCTCGCTTCCACTCCTGATCTGTGATCTTGGGGAAATCACTTTGTGAGATGTGAACGTGAAGAAAGAAAGCCCTGGAGTTCTGTGGGTCTCGGGAAAGGCCGAGTCGGGCAGGCCTGCTGGGACCGCAGCTGGGTGGGCAAGTGCCTTCGAGCTGGGGCGTCCCTGTGTCCGCTCACACCCGCCGCCTCCCTTTCCTCAGATCTTTGCCAGTATCGCCCCTTCCATCTACGGCCATGAGGACATCAAGAGAGGCCTGGCCCTGGCTTTGTTTGGAGGGGAGCCCAAAAACCCAGGTGAGCAGCCGTGGGCACACCTGTTCCTCTCCTGGGTGGTGGCAGCTTGTCTCTCCCCAGGTCTTTGGGGAGCCAGTGTGGTGGTGATGGGAGGTCCGCTGGGTACTGGGGAGCAAGACCTGGTCAGGGATGTCGGGCTGGATTTGACCTGCTCCCTGTCAGGAACCGACCCATGGCTGCCGGCCTTGGTGCTTGGAGCAAACCTGCTTTTGCTTCTCTTGTGTTAAGTGTTAGCTACAAGAGTAACACCGAAATACTTACCGTGGATGAGGGTGCCATCAGCACACACTGCCCTCGCAGCTGTAGGGGCCAGTCAGATGAGTGTGTGTGTTGGTGTGTGCAAAGCCTGGCTTCCCTGTACATATGCCCCATGGCCCACCGACCCCCAGCATCCCCGCCGACCTGCCCCTCTCCGCGGCCTGCCCGTGTGCAGAGCGGGTCTACTCTAAGCCGTCACGTCATGACCCGTGTGGCATTGTTCACTCCTGTGGGGAGCCTGAAGATACTTGAGGTTTTCCACATTCACTAAGGAGGCCTTGGCTATGCTGCACCTGTGGGCATGTTCCTCTGGGGCAGGTATCAGGCTGGGGTGACTGCTGGCGTCGGGCAGTGCCTCCCTGTTAAGAGAGGCTGGGCCTTTGCCATTGCTCATAAACAGACTGAGTCTGGAACCTGCTGGTCCCCCACCCAACTCCTCACCACCCTTTCTTTGTTGCCCCAACCAGGTGGCAAGCATAAGGTGCGAGGTGACATCAACGTGCTGCTGTGTGGAGACCCCGGCACGGCAAAGTCTCAGTTCCTGAAATACATCGAGAAAGTGTCCAGCCGGGCCATCTTCACCACTGGCCAGGGCGCGTCGGCTGTGGGCCTCACGGCCTACGTCCAGCGGCACCCGGTCAGCAGGGAGTGGACCCTGGAGGCCGGGGCCCTGGTTCTGGCTGACAGGGGGGTGTGTCTCATCGATGAGTTTGACAAGGTGGGTCCCTGGGTGACACGGGGTGGCCTGCGTGGGGAAGAGAAGGCCAGTGGAGAGAGCTCGGGCCCTCCTGAGACAGGAAGAGGCGGGGTCTTGCTGATGGGTGCTTGGCTCTGGCAGATGAACGACCAGGACAGAACCAGCATCCACGAGGCTATGGAACAGCAAAGCATCTCCATCTCCAAGGCCGGCATCGTCACCTCCTTGCAGGCCCGTTGTACCGTCATCGCCGCTGCCAATCCCATAGGTACCCACAGCGAGCCTGGGAAGCAGTCGGGGGGGACGAGGTCAGACTGGGGGACACCTGGGACTTTGAATGTTCTCACAGGATGTGCATGGTCCACCCTGGGGCAGCGTGGGCCTGGGAGTGAGCCTGTTGAGCTTCTGCTGAAATGAGGCTGTTCCAAGCAGAGCTCGGGGGCGAATGTGCTGTGCCCAATGGCTAGCAGGTGCTGCGAGGCCATCCAGTGTCATTCTCCTAATGCCCCATCTCCTGTTAGCTCTGCTGCAGCCTGGGTCGGGGGGGCTGCCCAAGGCAGAGGAGAGAGGCTGGTGTGGCAGCCCTGACATGGGGTGCCTTGGTGTTTCAGGAGGACGCTACGACCCCTCGCTGACCTTCTCAGAGAACGTGGACCTCACGGAGCCCATCATTTCCCGTTTTGACATCTTGTGTGTTGTGAGGGACACAGTGGACCCAGTCCAGGTACAGCCCCCTGCTGCAGGGTTTGGGGTCCTCGTGTGAGCTGTGCAGTGTGACAGGGGCAGGCCTTGGCCTGCTCTCCAGCTCTCCAGGCTTGCTCTCTCAGCCTTGTCTCATGTCCCAAAGTCCCGTCCTAACCACCCTTCCAGTCTGATCAGCTTAACTCTTCCAGCCAGTCCTGGCCCTGCCTAAGGCCACATGCTCCCCAGTGCTTCCGGTCCGAGGGACTGTGCTGCTGCGCTGGTCTCTTGGCTTCTGCTCGTGCCCCCTCCTCACACCTGTTGACCCTCCGCATGGGAGCGTAGCCATTTAGCAGCCACTTGCAGCTTTCAGCTGTGACTGGAGTCCCTGTCCTGGGCCTGTGACCTCCGTCTGGGCTCCCCTGGTGGTCAGTGCGCTTGCTCCTTACCCCCACTTGGACCCGCCTGCTTCCTCTGCTGCTCTCCAGGCCTCGCCCTCCTGGGGTGCCATGCTGGTGCGCCCTGTGTATCTGCTGGACACTCAGCTGAGATGCCATGGGTCCCTCAGATTCACCTCCCTATTTGTCTTGTTGGCATGCATTGCTTTCTGTCCTGAAAGTTTGAAATCATTCGTCACGCCCTACTGGCCTTGACACACTTAGCAGTGTGTGCCAGGTGCCTGGACACGGTGGAGGGACACGTCCTTGGCAAGAGTGCCAGTCTCCCGAATGGCACGCTGCAGTTCCCCGGGCTGACCGGCCCTTCCTGCTCACCATAGGATGAGATGTTGGCCCGCTTTGTGGTCGGCAGCCACGTCAGACACCACCCCAGCAACAAGGACGAGGGGCTGGCAGGTGGGACCACACCAGAGCCTGCCCTGCCCAACACGTACGGCGTGGAGCCGCTGCCGCAAGAGGTCCTCCGGAAGTACATCATCTACGCCAAGGAGAAGGTCCACCCCAAGCTCAACCAGATGGACCAGGACAAGGTGGCCAAGATGTACAGCGACCTGCGCCGAGAGTCCATGGTGAGGGCTGCTGGGCTGAGGGCACTGGGGCGTGCAGGGTGGGACTTGTGGTCAGCACATGGCAGGCAGTCAGCCCCCAGCGTGCAGGGCAGGAAGACTGGGAAATGACACTCGGGTTGTCTGGTGTTGGTGCCCGACACTGGGACCTACCTGTGGTGACAGCACGCGGACAGCTGGCTGAGGGAGCCCCACGTTCTAACCTCCTGCACCCCAAAGGTCTGCCACGGGGGTGGGGGGCCAACTGCTAGACCACAGCATCCGCCTTGCCGTGTGCTAGGGGACTCCTAGGGGTGCGTGTGTTTGTCTGACATGGAGTCAGGGCCAGTCTTTTAAAAGGTTAGAAAGAGAGCCGGACAGAGCTGTTCCTTCTGCTTCCAAGTGCCCACAGTGCTGGGGCTGGACGAGGGCCAAGCCTGGAGCCCAGGACCCGAGCAACGGCTCTGACTTAGCGTCAGGGACCTAGGTGTTGGAGCCGTCACCTGCTGCCTCCCACAGCGTGCATTAGTAGGAAACTAGAATCAGAGCTTGAGCCTGGCACTCTGATCATAGAATGTGGGTGTCCCCCGTCCTGTCTGGCCACAGTGCCACCCTTGGAACAAGAATCTCAGGGTGGCACACAGGAGCTGTGCTGCAGATCCCTCCGGCTGGCCCTGTCTTGCCCACCCCTTCTCAAGGCAATGGTTTATTTACCTGAGTTTGCATAGACTGACTCTTCCCCCTCACCCCCATGGCCCTGGGTCATGCAGTGTTCAGTATGTGGCAGTAAGAAGTACAGCTGGCCACAAACATGACCAGCTCTGAGCTGCTTAGTGGTCAGCGGGGGAGAAGAACTGCCCAGGCGCAATTGTGACACACTGCAAGTAGGCAGCATGGCCCATGCACCTTTCTGTTCTTTGCAAAAGAACCCAGCAGCCAGCACCATGGTGTGGCAGGATAAGCCTCCTGCTGCGGGGTTGGCATCCCAGGTGGGCACCAGTTCACGTCCTGGTTGCTCCACTTCTGATCCAGCTCCCTGCTTATGCCTGGGAAAGCACTGGAGGATGGCCCACATCCTTGGCCCTGCACCCACACTGGAGACCGGGAAGAAGTTCCTGGCTTGTGGCTTCGGATCGGCTCAGTTCTGGATGTTGTGACCATTTAGAGAGTGAACTAGCAGATGGAAGATAGCCATGTGTGTCTCTAACTCTGCCTGTCAAGTAAAAAACAACCTATAAAGAGAGGGGAAAGGAACCAGAAGGTTACAGTTCACCTGCCACTTTACCCGTTGCGTGAGCTGGCTTGGTTCTGGCTGCTGAGAGTTCCTCCCCTCGGGGCTCCCGCGCCTCCCCTTCCTGCCCGAGAGGGCCTGACCCTCTGCTGCCCCGCAGGCCACGGGAAGCATCCCCATCACAGTGCGTCACATCGAGTCCATGATCCGCATGGCCGAGGCCCACGCGCGCATCCACCTGCGGGACTACGTGATAGAGGACGACGTGAACATGGCCATCCGCGTGATGCTGGAGAGCTTCATCGACACGCAGAAGTTCAGCGTCATGCGCAGCATGCGGAAGGTGGGGGGCGCACTGGGCTCTGGGCGGGTGTCTGGCTGCACCCCGTTCGCCCTGGACTCTTGTGGGGGTGTGTCTGGCTGCACCCCGCCTGCACTGGACTCTCGGGGAGGGTACCTGACTGTCCTTTCTCCTGCAGACTTTTGCTCGCTATCTCTCCTTCCGGCGCGATAACAACGAGCTGCTGCTCTTCATACTGAAGCAGCTGGTGGCAGAGCAGGTGACCTATCAGCGGAACCGCTTCGGGGCCCAGCAGGACACCATCGAGGTCCCTGAGAAGGACTTGGTGGACAAGGTACGGGCACGGATGGTGGAGACGGTCAGGGTGTGCTGCTCTGGAAGCTGAGGGCGCCCACACCGTGTGGGGGGTCGTTAGGTGGGCCAGCCCCTGGGACAGCAGTGGATTGAGCGTTCACAGTCCACGTGCGTGTCATCCGATGGCAGGTGAGTCTTGATCTTGTCACCTTGTTTTGAAGAGTTGGAGAAAGGCACGGGCAGCCACATGGCTCGCCCCTCACAGCTGTGGGCGGGGGCGGAGGTCGAAGCCTGGCCCCCAGCGCCAGCCCCTAGGCCTCTGTCCGTGCCTGCCCGCGGTGACAGCAGGAGCTCCGGGGAGCCCGGCTCACTCGCTGTCCGCACCTCCAGGCTCGCCAGATCAACATCCACAACCTCGCGGCCTTCTACGACAGCGAGCTCTTCAGGATGAACAAGTTCAGCCACGATGGGAAGCGGAAGATGATCCTGCAGCAGTTCTGAGGCCCTGCCTGGGTGCAGAGACTCCCCGGGCCTGGCGTGGGGAAGCCGGGCCGAGCGCCCCGTCGCTCTGTCCCGTGTGCAGGCTTCAACCCAGAGCGCTGCGGCTCAGGCCTGCCCGGCCCGCGGCTGCAGCTGGTCTCCTGGGCTCGGGGCCGTGTCCCGGAAGGAAGGTATTGAATCCTTTGGCTTCACCTCCTGCTTCTCTCACCTCTGGGTGCACAGGCTTTGGCTTTTTCCTCCAGCTGCTCAACAGCTGGTTTGTCTTCACCTGGCACCTTGGGTCAGCAGGGCGTCCCCATGTGGATGTTGCTGTTGCCACTTTCAGCCACGGAGCCGGGGGCAAGTGTCTCCTTTCTCACTGCTCAGCCCGCAGGTTCCTCCGGAGTGCCGGGAGGGGTCCCCTGGCCACGAGCACTTGCCCTTTGGGGTGATGGGGCTGACTTCCCCAAGTTGGGGCAGCCCTGGGCGTTGTGTGTGGGCCCTGAGGGTCATCTGTTCCCACGCAGCTGTCCGGCACCATCGCCGGCTCCTCCGTGCACTGCTGTGTGCCCGTTTCCTCCTCACGCGCCTGTTTGTACAGTCAAGTTTTACTTCTAGACTTTGGATTTTTAATAAAGTTGTTGGAAGTGCAAACGCTGGAGTCTGTCGGGCCTCAGCCCTCTGTCCTACCCCGGGCTTGCTTGCCAGGCCTTTTCCATCTTGTGCCTCAGGTTTCTGTCGGAAGTAGGTCAGGTTAGGAAATGTGGTTTTGTTGTGAAGGTGTCGAAATGAAAAATAATGTGGGCCTTCCTTGGGAGCTGCAGTCTGGCAGTGTGTGTGTGTGCGTGCTGCAGTCTGGCAGTCTGGCCTGTAAGGACTGAGTGGGATCCCTGGTAGGCGGGTGTGCGTGTGTGTGCATGTGTGTGTGTGCGCTGCATTCTGGCAGTGTGACCTGTAACGTCTGAGTGGGATCCCTGGTAGGCGGGTGTGTGTGTGTACATGTGCATGCGTGGCAGGAGTGGGGGTGGGTGACCTGCCTGCTGGTCGACTGTGTGTGTGTGTGTGTGTGTGTGTGTGTGTGTGTGTGTGTGTGCGCACGTATGTACTAGGGGGGATAGCCCGCTTCCTGGAGGAGCCCATTCCCAGTGCTGGTCGACTGTGTGTGTGTGTGTGTGTGTGTGTGTGGACTAGGGGGGATAGCCCGCTTCCTGGAGGAGCCCATTCCCAGTGTCCCAGCAGTGCCGGAGAGGGCGACAGATGCACCTTGTTCAGGGAGAGGGAGGCGGAAGGACGGGCTGGTGCCGGGAAGGGAGGAGAGCGGATGGTGGTGTGTCTTGCGAGTGTTTTGGACAAGGTTGGGTGGTGAACAAGGGGCCGGGGCAGGGGAAGCTCGCAGGGGAAGCCGTGCTGCCGGTGACCGGGTACGCTCTTCAGCGGGAAGAACTAGGAGCGTTGTTAGCAGACTGACTGATTTTTGAAAGACTTCAGAGAAAGATCTTCGGTTTTCTGATTTTGCTCCCCTCATGGCCGCAAGGCTGTGTTTGGGCCAGACTGAAGACTAGCCGCAACATTGGCCCCTCTCCTCTGCCAGACACCTGCCCTGACTTTATGGCTGCAGCTACAATAGCTGAGAAGAGCCCCCTGGGAAGGCAGGGTGGTTCCAGCTTATGGAGGTTGCAGTCCTAGATCGGGGGGCCACCCTGGTTCACCTGGCCGCCGAGTCTGGGGGTGCAGCAGGGGTCGGTAGATACAGAGCGAACAGCCTAGCAAGCAGTGCTTAGAACTGCCTTCCCACAGGGCATGCTACCACCTCCCACACACCACAGGTAAATCACCTCCGTCCGCCCTTCCCTCACCTCAACAGAAGGCTGCGTTAAGGGAACCAGATCATGTTTAATCCATAGTAATTTATTCTTGTAAAGAGACTGATCTCATTTATTTGGAAAGCAGGATTAGGAGGAGAGACAGATCTGCCTGTCCAATCCCCAGATGGCTGTAGCTAGGACCTTGATCTCCCACCGAGTGGTAAGTCCAAGTGCCTGGGCCATCCTCTGCTGCTTCCCCAGGCACGTTGGCAGGAAGCTGGCTTGGCAGCGGAGCCGTAGGACTCAAACCAGCACCCAGATGACAGCTTAACCTACTGCGCCATGGTGAGCTCTCAAGTGTGTAAGTTTTTTAAATATACTATATGACTGTATGCAGATACAGAAGTGCATACATGTTGAATATAGAATGTGTGCTTATTTTTTGCTTTTGTAAGAGGTTTCTTGAGAGAATTGACACATCCCGTCAGTCGTTGGTTCTTTCACATTCGGAGTTGGATGTCATCCATCCTAAAATGTACCTCCCCACACACTCCCTGTCTCAAACCCCTCACCATCTCTGGGCAACCCGTTCTGGACTCTGTCCCCAGGAGTCGGCCTCAGCTGGACACCTGTACGACAGTGCCCACAGGCTGTGCTGCAGAAGGGGTCCCGCCTTCCACGCCACGGGCTGACGCTGGTGTGGACAGGGAGCTACGCTTTCTCTGTCCATTCTTTTTTTAAAAGATTTATTTATTTTTATTGGAAAGGCAGATATACAGAGAGGAGGAGAGATAGAAGATCTTCTATCTGATGGCTCACTCCCCAAGCGGTTGTAACGGCTAGAACTGAGCTAATCCGGAGACAGGAGCCAGAAGTTTCCTCTGTGTATCCCACTCGGGTGCAGGTCCCAAGGCTTTGGGCCATCTTCGACTGCTTTCCCAGGCCACAAGCAGGGAGCTGCATGGGAAGTGGGGCTGCTGGGATTAGAACCGGCGCCCATATGGGATCCCGGCACGTTCAAAGTCAGGACCTTAGCCGCTAGGCCACTGTGCCGGGCCCTGCCTTTTCAATTTAAAAAAAAATAGATAAATTTAAATGAAATTAAGTTCATAAAACTACTGTAAAAAGCTCTTGGAAAATGTAATTAAAGTTTTATGTGATAAAATTTAAAAATCATTACTTGAGGTCTTGACGTTTGATGGGAATGCTGTGTCCATTTTGAAGGTTCAGGTTTTAATGATAAATGATGCGTCAAGTTCAGCTTATACTTTTTAAATGTTGTTTGTACTTTTGTTCCTTTCTTCATTTACTTATACCTGTTGGTTTTTTTTTTTCCTTAATGCTAAAGGTTTGCTTTCTTGATCCATCCAATAGGCTTTTCACAATCAGTTTTTAACAATAATGAAATTAATTGTTTATTGTGTGTGTGTGTGTCTAAAGCTTCTTAAATGGAATGCTCGGTTCATTTATCTTTAATGTCTTTGTTAAAAGTAAATATATTTGTGGCTCTGCCGGCTGCGTCCCGCGAGCTTTGAGGGCTGGTGTTGTCACTCGTGTCTAATGGCTCAGACCGATGGCTGGCTGCCGTAGACTGTGACCCTGCGAGCAGCGCACGGCCCTGCTCCTGGCTTCCAGCATTTCACACCCTCCACGGGCCCTCCTGTTCCCTGGAGCCATTTCCCATGATTCACCTGCGTGTGAGTTCATTGCTTCTAGAAGCTGACCGGGAGCACTCCCACTGTCTACCAGCACTGGATTCTCATTGCCTGGGTTTTGTGTGTGTGTGATATTTTGCTTATTTAGTTACTTATTTGTTTTTAAGATTTATTTATTTAAAAAATTAAAAATTTAAAAAGGAATAAAACAAAAAAATAAGATTTATGTATATGAAAGGCAGAGTAAGAAAGAGGGGGGAGCGGTCCCAGCGCAGTGGCCTAGCAGGTAAAGTCCTTGCCTTAAACATGCCAGGATCCCATATGGGCATCAGTTCTACTCCTGGAGGCCCTGCTTCCCATCCAGCTCCCTACTTGTGGCCTGGGAAAGCAGTCGAGGACGGGCCAAAGCCTTGGGACCCTGCACCCACGTGGGAGACCTGCAGGAGGTTCCTGGCTCCTGTCTCCGGATCGGCACAGCACCGGCCATTGCGGTCACTTGGGGAGTAAATCATCGGACGGAAGATCTTCCTCTCTGTCTCTCCTCCTCTGTGTATCTGACTTTGCAATAAAAATAAATCTTTAAAAAGAAAGGAAGAGGAGAGACAGCAAGGTCACTCAGCAGTTTTGCTGGTCTAAAGCCAGCGGCACGAGCTGCTCTGGCTCCGTCGGAGAAGGGGCCTGAGGCCTTGGACCGCCATCCCCCCCGACCCAGATCATAGGCAGGGAGTTGGGTCAGACATGGAGCAGCTGGGACTTGAACCAGTGGTTTTACCTGTTATGCCACAGCGCCAGCCCCTGGTTTGGTTTGGTTTGGTTTTTTTGGGTGAGAGAGTCTGGGCCAGGCTTGTTTCTGCTGAGAATGATCCAGAACAAACCTTCAGACAAGAGATCCCCAAGTTGGACATCCCTGCAGAGTTGCTGAGAGGAGTGAAGTGGGGGACACCGTCTGATCCACAGGGACCCTTCACCCTGCGGGGAGGCTGCAGGGGGGTGATGCTGCGCGCAGGTGCCCCCTCCCTGCCCTGGCAGCTCCTGGATCTCGGAGATCTGGTGCCCGTGTGGCGGTTCCACTGGAGGCTGTTGAACCCAAGGCCCTGCCAAGCTCCCATGGTCTGCACAGTACACTTGCCTCAAGTCCAAAACTGCGTCACCCCGAGCAGCGTGGCATCGTGCCGTGTCCCTGGGGCTCCGTGGGCTGCCTATGCCTGAGTCAGATTCTCAGCGTGGGCCACCGAGATTCCTGCCCCTGTCTCCTCTCTAACCCTTGGCTCTTTCTCGCTTCCCCCTGCTGGCCGTCAGAGCTCAGTTTACCAAAGACCTATGGGCCCGGTGCGGTAGCCTAGTGGTTGAAGTCCTGCCTTGAACATGCTGGGATCCCATATGGCTGCTGGTTCAGTGTCCCAGCAGCCTCACTTCCCATCCAGCTCCCTGCTTGTGGCCTGGGAAAGCAGTCGAAGATGGCTCAAAGCCTTGGGACCCTGCACCCACGAGGGAGACCCGGGAGAAGCTCTTGGCTTTGGATCGGCTCAGCTCCAGCCTTTGTGACCACTTGCTGAGGGGGCCACAGAGAATCTTCCTGTCTCTTCTCCTTTCTGTATATCTGACTTTTTTTTTTTTTTTTTTTTTTACAAAGTCAGATATACAGAGAGGAGAGACAGAGAGGAAGATCTTCCGTCCGATGATTCACTCCCCAAGTGACCGGAACAGCCGGTGCTGCGCCAATCCGGAGACAGGAACCAGGAACCTCTTCCGGGTCTCCCACGGGGGTGCAGGGTCCCAAGGCTTTGGCCCGTCCTCGACTGCTTTCCCAGGCCACAAGCAGGGACCTGGGTGGGAAGCGGGGCCCATTCAGAATCCTGGCGCATTCAAGGCGAGGACTTTAGCTGCTAGGCCAATTTCTTTTTATTGGAAAGGTAGATACACAGAGAGAAGGAGATGCAGAGAAAGATTTTTCTCTGCTGGTTCAGGCTGCAAGAGCCAGTGCTAAGCGGAAGCCAGGAGCTTCCTCTTCCGGGTCTCCCATGTGGGAGCCATTCTCGACTGCTTTCCCAGACCACAAGCAAGGAGCTGGATGGAAAGTGGAGCAGCAGGGACACGAACCAGCTCCTCTATGGTATCCCAGCACCTGCAAGGTGAGGACAACCACTTGGCCATAGCACCAGCCCCAAAATGGTTGCGTTTCAAGAAAACTCCCACCACAGGTGTGGTTGTTGGGGTTTTTAGGTTGCCATCTCTTTGGGGGGCCGGACCCCTGTTCCTAAGCTCGGAATGCCACCTCCCACCCGGAACGTTCCCCAACCCCACCCCACCCCAGGTCCTAACTTGAACGGTTTCTCCTCCCCATAGTCTCACAGCCTGGGCACTGCCTAACTACCCCTGCCACCACTGCAGTGCCACCACCTTGGGTTGAGATGGACGGTAGGGTGGGAGCTGACCGCGCCCGCTGAGAACACAGGCCTGTTAGGGAAAGCTCTACCACCTGTCTCCCGTGGCCCGCGAACAGGCTGCAGCTGCCACAGGGAGCCCAGGTTGGGCGAGTTACCCGACCCCCATCACACCGGTGACCCTTCGCACTCGGCCCCCGTGGCACCCAGGGCCGCCGGGCAGGGGACAGGGGCCCAGGCTCCCGGCGCCAGGCTGGGGCCTGCGGGCAGCTCGCCCCCCATCGAAGCCCGCGCGGCGCCCCTCGGCCGGCCGGGCTCCCGGGGCTGCGGCGGAGGGACGGCCGCCCGCGCACCCGCCTCGACTCCACGGGGGCGCGCCCAAGCACGAGGCCGGGCGGGCGCTGGCGTGAGTGACGGCCGCGCGAGCCAATGAGAGCGCCGCGCGCCGCCGCCGCCGCCGCGCGCGGCCCCTGACGCGGGCCCGGGCGCCGCGCCGCTGCGGCTGCGGGCGGCGACGGCTGCACCATGGGCCGGCTGCTGCGGGCTGCCCGGCTGCCGCCGCCGCCGCTGCTGCTGCTGCTGCTCCTGCTGCTGCTGGCCGGGGGTGAGTGCGCGGCGCGCCGGGCGGGCGGGCGGGCCGTGGCCGTGGCCGTGACCGCGGCGGGCGCCGTGCTGGACAGCTCCCCGGGCCGCCAACAAAGGGGCCGGGCTCGTGTGGCGCGGCGCGAGAGCGCGCGGGTCCCGGCCGGGCTGCCTCTCCGCCCTGCCCCGCGCCCTCGCTCGTCTGCCGGCTCGGGGGGGGGAACGTGGAGATGCTGGCGGGCGCTTCGCAAGTGAGGCGAGCCCTGGAACCGGGGGCCGCACGAGCCGGGGCGCGGGGGGCGTGTGCGCGAGACCCGGGCGCGCGCTCACACACAGGGAGTGTGGTCGGGGGTTGTGAACCCGCACCACCATCGCGGAGCCTCCGCCCGAGGTTGGGGGGCAGAGGGGTCGCATGTGTCCAGGGAGGAAGAGGAGGCTGTGTTGACAGCGACTCAGGGAGGCCTGGGCTCCCGGGAGGAGGACGGTGGCCCACGGAGGAGTAAGGGACAACAAGGAGGCTCAGTTGTGCGGCGTGAGGGTGTTTACGCGTGTGTACCTGTCCCACTGTGCCGCCAGGCCACTTGATTAATAGCTGACGTGCCAAAGAGTGTACTAGCCATGGCAAGGGCTGTGCTTGGGCTGTGCTACCAGAGACCTCCCACGCAGCTGACACACGTGTGTGTGTGTGTGTGTGTGTGTGTGCACCCACCGGTGCGGGTCTCCGTTCAGTGGCTCCACCAGCACCTGCCCGGGCATGCTAGCAGGTGCCCTGCAGGGGAGGGTTGGATGTGTCTGGGTTCCACAGACAGAGGCAAAGCCTCCTGAACAGCCTCCGGGGGCGGACATGGGCTGGAGGAGGGTGTGTGTGCAGTGTGTAGAGGTGGGCAGTGTGTGGGTGCAGTGTCTAGGGGTGTGACAGCCTGGGCAGGCTGTCTGCAAAGATGGGTCAGACAAGGACTCGGCACAGGGCTGTTGTGGTGCGTTGTGGTTGAGCGATCTCAGCTGACGCCGGCAGTGGACGGTGGTGCTGGCCTGAGCGGGTCGGATAGCCTTGAGTAGTCTCGTGCCTGGCAGGTGAAGAGCCGGGCGTGTGTGTGTTGGGAGGTGTGTGCCGGCTTGCTCGCTGTCCAGTTCCAGGCTGTGAGTCCCCAGGGTCACGGATACATGTGTGTGCTGGTGTGTGCGATTGAAAAAAGAAACTTGGCAGGAGAGGAGCCGTCCGCTGGGTATGACCACTGTCATGAGGTTCACAGATGCTCTTCACACCTCTGCTTGTCCTGGGAAGGCTGGCACCACCCAGGGCACCAGGGAAGGCCCTAAGAGGTGTGCCTGGAAAAACAAAGCATCCCTCAGTGCTCGTCTCCGGCCCTCATACCAGCCTGCCTGTATCCCTGGCATACTTGGAACTCTTCTGTGGACATAGGTGTGCTGCTCGACAGATGTGACCTGGTCCCCCCATTCCTTTGTGTGGGGTTGTGCCATAATTGTCCAGCCAAGCCGGAGGGCCCCCGTGGGATTAATCCTGGGCTGCTATCCCAGCGTCCCTCTGTGCCTCTGTCCCCGAGTGGCCGTCTCCGCACCAGAGCCCACGGGGCGTGGGTGAGTGCCTGGCAGCGTGCCACTGTCTCACACACCTTTATGTGGCAGCCCGGCCAGACTCCTGCAGCTCCTACATTGCTCCTGATTCTCACGCAATGCAGGCACGCGTGTGTGGGTGTGTGCGGGGCAGGGCGCCGTGCTAGACAGTGTCTGTTGTGGCTGTGCATGTGGGGGCTGTGACAGGTGTGGCGGGGTGCCCCGCCTGTTGGTGTCAGCTGTGAGAGGGCTGGGCTGATGATGGACCAGGCGCAGGCTGTAAGGGCTGATGAGAAGGGCAAGATAAACAAGGTCGCCCCGCCTGTGCCCCGCACGATGCCGGCGTGCTGCGCTGGCCTCTTGGCCTGGGTTTGTTTGAAGCAGGTTTGCTTTAAGGTTGGTCCCCTAATCCTTCTCATTTGCTTTCTTTCTCTCTGCATCTCTCTCTCTCAGGAGTGATGAAGTGACAGGAAATTATAGGTGCTGGAGAAGGGAGGGGCGCACGTGTGGAATCAGTCACAGATTGAGCGTAATTCGGGCAATTTTAAATCAGGCAGGATCTCAATTAAGGCAGAATAATTATGAAGCCCCAAAAGTAATTAGACCCAGGACGGCTAGGTCTCAGCCGCTATTTTAGTGTCATCTTACTGCGGACAAGTTTGAAAATAACCTCTTGTAATTATTGGAACAATTACCTATCACCAGGGTGGCTGAAATAGCAAGAGCTATATAAAGACAAAAAATCCTTGTGGGGAAAAACAGCTTCAAGGAAATGAAACTGTTTACCAGAGAAGAAAGAAAAAGCAGGAAAATACCAGATTCCTTTTTTTTTTTTTTTTCAGCAGGGTTTTCAACATCTTTGTTTAAAAAGCAAGACAAAGAGCCAAAGGGGGAGACAGTGGAGGGGCCCGCGGCTTCCCCAGGTGACAGGCAGCACGCGTTTCAGAGACCCGGGGGTCTGGCCTGAGCTGTGCACGTGGCACAGCAGCCCCAGACGCTGCGGCTGGCCGCCGCGGGATGCCCCTGGTCGGACCGCCATGTGGGGGCTCAAGGGGCTGTTTTCCCAATGTCTGAGCAGTTCTGGGGGGCCGGAACGAGGCCTGGGTAGCAGCCATTTCTCCCCTCGATGCCCACGCCAATCTGGCAGGGACCCTGAGGTCTCACTGCCAAGGGGCATTTCGCTCGGCACACAAGGCTGCCTGCTGCACCTGCCAGAGGCTGCAGCCAGGCGGGGAGAACCCCTCCTCGGGTGCCCCAGGAACCTGGATGGCAGCTATTGGGTAATTAGTACCAGCCTTTCTCATGGTTGGTTTTTTTGTCTCCCTGGAATGTACGAATGAGGTTTTCCAGATGAATTTTCTCCTGTTTTGTTTTTGGCAGTCACCTTCCCCATCCCGGGAGGTGGGGGGAGGGAGGCCGGGCACACCGTGTCTGCAAAGCCGGGCTCTGGAGTCAGCTGGTGTCGCACACACAGCGCAGGCTCCGTCTGCCAAGAGGTGGCCCTCTCTCCCAGGGAGGTCCCGGGGCGCGGCACAGCACGGAGTGCGGGCCACAGGCCAGCGTCCGTGTTGCCTCCGCAGAGATGGCACAGCCTGCCTGAATCCTGACCGACTGCTCCCCGATATCTGGGCTGACGGGCTGAGTCTGTGGCTCTAACTGACTTCTTAAAAATCACAAGAAAGCTTAGGGAGTCAGTACAGTGTGTGGACGAAATGTGGCGAAACATGGGGCCTGTGTGGAAACATCAACATGGGGTTCATGGCTCTGAAGACACTGGAAACTTCAGACTTTCCTGACTCGGTCTGTTGTAAGAAAGAGGAAAGAGTCCTTTAGGGATCTGATTCCGTGTGTGTGTGTGTGTGTGTGTGTGTGTGTGTGTGAAAGGCAGAGTTATACAGAGATGGAGAAAGTCGTACCATTTTTGGTTCACTCCCCAAAGGGCTACAGTGGCCAGGGCTGTACCAGGTCAAAGCCAGGTGACAAGAACTCCTTGCTGGTCTCCCACATGGGTGGTCCACCCACCTGTGCCACCCTCCACTGCTTTGCCAGGCACAATAGCAGGGAGCTGGGTGGGAAGTGGAGTAGTTGGGCCTGGAGCCAGTGCTCATATGGGATGCCATCAATGGAGGCGCAACTTAGCCCACTGTGCCACAACAGCAGCCCCTGGGGATCTGCTTTGGGTGCTCGGGGGTGCCTGGGGCAGAGGGGGAAGTGAAGGGACCTTCCAGTCTAACGCTCTTGGCATCTTTGCCCAGCCCTGAATCCCTGTGACAAACTTGGCCACCCTTGGGTATTTAATTCTTTCTTCCTGTCCCCTTGGGAGTTAGGGTGCCGAGCCTGGCAAGTAGCAGCTTCCCCTTCCTCCTGCATGGAGCGTCTAGACCTGTCTGTCGGCAAAGGCCAGCTAAGGAGAACTCTGCTGTTAACTTGTCTGGCCTTAATCCCACGAGGTTTATTCATCTCATCTGTAAAACAAGGGGATTGAGTCAGATCCTTGTTGCTTTATTCAAGGACCTGCAGTGCAGCTAACGTGGGAAGGACCAGGCTGGAGTGACACGGGGCGGGGAGGGGCACACTCCGTCATCTGCTTGTCTCTCGGTTTGGTGAGGAAGTGTGGTGACAGGAGTCTGTTCAGGAGGCTGTGACCACAGAGAGGAGCTGCACCTCACCCAGACTGGGGGTGACCATGAAACTGAGACCTGGGGCCGACGTGGCACAGCACGTTAAACCACAGCCTGCTGCACGGGCATCCCATATCGGAACACTGGTTCAAGTCCCAGCCACTCTGCTTCCAGTCCAGCTCCCTGGGAAAGCAGCGAAAAATGATCCAAGTCCCTGGGGGACCCCCTCCCACCCATGTGGGAGGTCAAGTTGGAGTTCTAGGCTCCTGGCTTCACCCTGCCCCAGCCCAGCTGTTGTGGCCATCTGGGGACTAAAGGTTGCTTTCTCTCCGTTCTCGCTTGGTCTTGGATTCTGCCTTTCAAGCCAATATTATTTTTAAAAAATTCTTATTTTTATTGGAAAGGTAGGTTTACAGAGAGAAAGAGAAATACAGAGAAATATCTTCCATCTGCTGGTTCACTCCATAAGTGGCTGCAATGGCCAGAGCTGAACTGATCTGAAGCCAGGAGCTTCTTCCAGATCTCTCACGCTTGTGCAGGGTCCCAAGGGAGCCATCCTCTACTGCTTTCCCAGGCCACGAACAGGGAGCTGGATGGGAAGTGGAGCTGCCGGGACATGAACCGGTGCTAATATGGGATCCTAGTGGCTGCAAGGTAAGGACTTCAGCCACTAGGCTACCGGGCCAGGCCCAAGTGAATATTTTTTTGAAGACACTAAAGTTGGAGAGTTAAGCCAGAGGAGGCAGTGGACAGATGAGGAGAAAAGGCTACTCAGGCGGAATGGGTTGCAGGTGTGAAGCCCAGAAAACCAGAGAGGTCACTGTGCTTTGAAAGTCACTGGAAGCATGGTTTACATAGAGCTTTGAGTGTGAGCAGGGACCGATGGCTGACTTTGGAGACCGGAAGGGCCATAGTAGGGGTCAGTTGAGGAGAAACTTTTTCTGCTACCATGCAGGGTCTCGCCTCCATTGCCTGTGGGAGTGATAGAGCGAGACGTGTCACAGAGTGACCTGAAGCATCTCTTGTCCCTGCCGAACCAGGGCTGGCTCGAGTCTGCAAAGTATTGGCTCAAAACAAGAGCCATCTACTTAGTTTGTGATCCGGGGGTCAGCAGTATAGGCTGGGGTCAACTGGGTGGTCATTGTGGGCCCACCTGGACTTCCTCATGTCTAACTCCAGCAGTTGGCCACCCTTGTTGTTCCTGGCTGGCTCTGCCAGGTTGAGGAATCAGTTGGGATATGGCGCTGATGTGGCTGGCCCCTTCTAGGACGGTAGGCCAGCCCAGGCTGGACTGGCATGGGCAGGGGAAGCCCTGGACGCTTCTTGTCACCCAGCCTTGGAAGTGGCGTGTCACCCCTGCTCTGCTGTAACTCGCAAGAGTGGGCTGGATTCCAGGAGTGGGAATGGATCAGCTGCTCTTGTTGGGGTGTCGGGGGAGCTGCAGAGTCGTCTTGCAGGGTTCTGCCTTCTTGTAGGCTGCTCTGGACAATCTGCTGGCCATTCCAAAGCAGGACGTGTCACCCTGTCTCTTACTTACCTGTTAGGGCATGGGTGATTTTCCTTTATAACACTATGGCTAGGAGACACCATGATAAGAATTCTTCCTGCCCTCCGTCCCCGCTCTTGGTGGAGAGCAGAACTGGTGGATGGGCCATGGGGTGCTGAGCTACAGAGACCCCGAGATCCCTAATTCACCCTCTCCTGAACAAAAGGGAGGTGCACTCCTTTGCCTTGGTCCTCCCTGTCGCCTCAAAATCAAGCCCAATAGAAATTCCAGAATGTGAGGAACCTGTTTCCTGTTGGAGCTGGGGTGTGATCGCAGGCTCCAGGGTCACGGTTTAGTGCCACACAGCCAGGACCTGTGTGCACGTGGTCTGGAGATATGATGACTTACTGGTTTGCATTAAGCAGAAAGCCCCATGCTGTGAGCAATCCTGGAACAGCAGTGGTGTCTTGGGTCTGGTCTCAGAGGTGGAGGTGGCCAGTCCTCCTTTCCCAGCTACGGTGGGCGGCCTGTCTCGGGGTCTGCCTGCCCAAGCGTCTGAGCATTTCTCTGGAAGCCACGGAGAACGGCTTTGGTCCCTCGTCACCATGGACCCTTCCCTTTGCTGTATTGGAAGATCCGGACCGTGGTCTCTTTGAATAGCTTTCTTTTCTAGGCCACGGACGTGGCAGGTCTGGCTTTCCTTTGGGACGATCACACGTTCGCACAGCACCCTGTGAAGCTCTTTGTGGAGCAGCTCGCACGCGCCGCCCGGGGATGACCTCATCGGAGGCCCCTCCCCCTGCAGGGGCTGCAGGAATTACTGTCCCGTTGTCCACACGGGGACACTGGGACCCCCGGGTGGGGCGTGAGATAACCGAGGCAGAGGCGCCGAGCCAGCGAAGCCTGTGACGCTGGCACGCGCTCTCGCCGCCAGAGCCTGCCTCTGTCTCCGTTTCAAGGCCCATTGATCGGCCTCCTGGCGCCTCTTCCTCTCCATTCACACCGCTCCAGAATGCCTCCCTTGTGACGGGGCCTGGCGTGCCCGTCCTGTGTTTTCCGGCTGCTGCATAATGTGCGGCTCTCCCTTGCGGCCCAATGTGCCCTCTGTTTGGGTCCGAACAGTTGGAGGCATTCTACCTTTCAGCGGGGGCCTGCTGCTGCCTTGGCTGCCGTGGCTCTTCCCTCACTTCAGTCTGCTGTGTGAGCAAGGATCAGGAGGTGGGGCATCGGGGGTGTAACAAGTCAGATGTTGCCTGCAGAGCTGCCAGCACGTGGCTGTGGCCATGCCAGTCCTCACCTTCACTGTAGCATCACCACTCGCACTGCCATCAGGCCAGGCCCCAGGATGCGGCCCTACACCGGGCAGGACTGACACTGCCTGTCCAGAGCATGTGAAGGGACCTTTGGGTGAGGGGGACCAGGGTGGGGGCCAGCTGCCGAAAGCCATCTCCCAGGTGGCGGGTGGTTGGTGGGTACCAAGCGTGTCGCCGAGCTGAGCAACGGGCATGTAGGGCTGCGTTCCTCATTTTAGTTGAATGACAGTGAAACTCTCCCTTTAACCTGTTGCTTCTGTGTCCGTGTGTTCTCATGAATTCAGAGGAAGATTCAAGGTTCTAAGTACATCTGCAGGTTTTGCTTGGGGTTGGTTGTGAGCTGTGTGCAGGATCCTGGGCTGCTGCAGCATCAATGGTGTCCCTGATGCTGCCTCGGGTGGTTTTCGGCCCAAGGAGTAAGGCTGCGAAGCAGTGTCCACACGTGAAGCTGGGGCGCTCAAGGCAGGGACCCCACCTTGGCTTGCCCCCTGGCACCGCTGCTGGCAAGGACGTGGCAAGACGTGGATTGCTTGCTGTGCCCTGCCCGTCTCCCTCCACTTCCTGTCGGCTCCACAGGGAGGGCTGCATGTCTTTCAAGCCCCTCCCAGCCTCTGGGCATCAGAATGCACCTGCAGGACCCCCCCCCCCCCGCCCTGGGCTTTTTGTGGTTGGACACATGCCTTCCCAGAGGCCAGCGGGTCCTTGCCCTCAGCTGATTGTCCTAACGGTCCGCCTTTTCCACCCTTGCAGGAGCCTCCCCAGGCGCCAGGGCCTCTGGGTCTGATGAACCCAGCCCAGAGGGCCTCACCTCCACCTCCCTGCTGGACCTGCTGCTGCCCACGGGCCTGGAGCCGCTGGACGCAGAGGAGCCCAGCGAAGCCATGGGCCTGGGGGCTGGCCTGGGAGCCCCCGGCTCGGGCTTCCCCGGCGGAGAGAGTGAAGAATCCCACATCCTGCAGCCGTCGCAGTACTTCTGGGAGGAAGAGGAGGAACTGAACGACTCCAGCCTGGACCTGGGCCCCACTGCAGGTAGCTGCTTGCTAGAGAGATTGTGCAAGCCGCCAGTGGGGCAGGTGGCCATGCCCCTGCCCGGAGCCCTCTCCGCTCTCCCCCTCTCCCCCTCTCCCTCAGCCCCATGTTGGCTTTGCCACTCTCATCCCGTCCTTGGGATTCTGCAGTGTCTGACTGGCCCAGGACGCCACCTTCTTCTTTGATAGCAGCCACTGTTTTTAGTAAGCCCTTGTCTTGTTCTGGGGTGGGGTAGTTGTGGGGTGCAGTGTCTCCCTGGAGGCTCAGAGACGGGGAAGCGCTCGTCTGCGGCCTGCCGCTGTTCAGACAAGCCCGTTGTAGGCGTCGTTCCTCCCCGGCTAGTCCTCTCCGCCCTCTCCGTTGAGACCAGGTCATCCGCGTCCCTTTGAGTCTGTTTGACCCCAACCCTCTGGTGGGCAGCAGAGCCGTGGCCAAGTTTATAGACATGGCGGTGAGCCCCAGGGCAGGCTGAGACTTTGAGCCATTGGCCATGTGCCCGTGACAGGTGCAGTTGGTCTGCTGGCCCTCATGCTGCAGTTGCAACAGCTGTACCAGCATTCCCAGCTGACGAGGCCCAGTTGTGAAGGATGGGCTGAGGAGTGCGCGCACACGTGTGTGTGTGTGTGTGTGTACGCGCATGGTCATGCATAGGGTGGAGTATTGCAGACTTTAGCCATAGTATCTATTTTCAACATGCATAGCATTTATAAAAATTTTTCTCTCAACTTATTAAAAAGAAAAACTACACAAGCCTTTGGGAAAACCCAAAAAATACAAAAACAATGCCTAGAGGCAAAAGACAAACTCCTCCTGATCCGGCGACTGGAAGACGGTGACTGCTCACGGCTCGGGCGCATCCTTCCCCGGGTTCATGGATGCAGGATTGCAGTTCTAAGGCACATTTTGTTTTCGTTCCTATCAGGGCGTGCCCTTTTGCATAACTTAATGTTTAATGACGACTGGGTATTTCACTACATGGGCTATTGATTGGTGCCGCCCATTATTGATCACTGAATACTAAAATTGTGTACAGGTTTAATTCTCACACTCCCCCCCCCCCCACCCAGTTTCTCGATTGTTTGTTTAGTATAAACTTCTAGAACACAGTTGCTAGGTCAAAGGATGGATCAGTTAGCATCTGGGGAAGAGGGGCCCCTGCCATCCCAGGCTCGCAGGGTCGAGGAAGGGTTGGTGAAGGGGGCCTGCAGGGAGAGATGGAGAGGGCAGGTGGTTCTGTGGAGAGGAGACCAGGAGATGGATCCCCAGCCTCCCCCAAGTGGCCGGGCAGGGAGCAGGAGCATGGAGCCCCATGGCCATGGGAGCCGGTGGAGGGGCGCAGAGTCAGCCCGGGCAGCAAGGGGGCGCTCATCTGCCCAGCGGCCACTGGGTAGTCCCTCCAAGTGACCCTCCCAAGGGATGGTTGCCTGTGCTGGCGTCAGGCGTTTGAACCCTTCCCAGCACTGAATTTTGTCCTCAAGAAATCTTTGTCCATTGGATAGGAAGTATAATGGCTTTGATGATAAAGAACTTTTAAAAAAAAGATTTATTTATTTTTACATGAAAGGCAGAATAAAATAGAAGGAAAAAGACATCTTCCATCTTCTGGGTCCTTCTCCAGAGGGTCTCAATGGCCAGAACTGGGCCTAGCCTGAAACCAGGGGCTTTTTCTGGGTTTTCCACGGGGCGGGCAGGGCCCAAGCACTTGGGCCATCTTCCACTACTTTCCCAGGAGCATTAGCAGGGAACTGGATTAGAAGTAGAGTAGTTAGGACTCAAACCAGTGCACATATGGGATGCTGACGCTACAGGCAGAGGCTTAACTTGCTAAGCTTAACCTGTTCCAGTCCCTGGTTATGGAGACGCTTTCTCCCTCTGTCTTACACACACACACACACACACACCACCCCGTGGAATGTCTGTGGTGCTCTAGGGTACACTAGAGTGGCTGCCTCAGGAGAAGGCTCTGACTGGTGCTGTCGTATGGGGCACCAGTGTTCCAAGCAGGTGCTCAGCCCATCCCCTCTGCACTGGCACTGCAGCATGGCAGGATGGGCATCTTGTCAGTGTGCCCAGGAAAGCAGCAGATGACGGCCCAGGTGCTGGGGCCCCTGCCATCCCTGTGAGAGTAGGAATGCATTCTTGGCTCTCTTGACATTGGTCTGGTCCAGACCTGGCTGTTATAGCCACTTGGGAGGTAGACCAGCTGATGAAAGAGCTCTCTGTCTCAATGCCTTTTGAATGAATGACAAATGAATGGATGAATCTTCATAAGTATGTACTCCATCTAAATTATGAATATTCATTATGTATGATGAATATTTATATATAATATACAAGATTTCTTTATAAAGTTCACGGAAAATGGAATGAAAATTGTTTTGGGGAAAACAAATTTGGAATTTAGGCATAATTTTTTCCCATAATCTATATTTTCTTTCTTTTTTAAAAGATTTAATTCATTTTTATTGGAAAGGCAGATTTACAGAGAAAAGGAAAGAAAGATTTTCCATCCACTGGTTCACTCCCCAAATGGCCACAACAGCCGGAGCTGAGGCAATCTGAAGCCAAGAGCCAGGAGCTTCTTCTGGGTCTCCCATGCCGGTGCAGGGTCCCGAGGACTTGAGCCATGCTGCACTGCTTTCTCACAAGCAGGGAGCTAGACGTCAAGTGGAGCAGCCAGGACACGAACCAGCACTGATATGGGATTCTGGCACTTGAATCTGGAGGATTAGCCGACTAAGCCATTCTTAGTTGTTTTTGAAGACTCTAATCTATGTGGATTATCTGGATGAGTAATGTATTTTTATATATAAAAAATGAGCAGAATGAATTCTTCTTGACTTGAAGTATAATGTAATTAATCAGAAGAACAAGTTTTGGAATCAGGTTCCAAAATTCCAGAGCTGTGATCTGACTTTTGGTAGGTAACTTAGTCTATGCCTCAGTTTTCTCACCTGGGAAATGGGAGAATAGCACCTATCTCTTAGGACTGTGAGGTTGTTTTTCTTTTTTGTTTGTTTTTTGTTCTTTAAATTTGAAGGTCAGAGTTACAGAGCCGGAGGCGGGGGACAGGAGAGAGATCTTCTGTCGATTGGTTTATTCCACAGGCGACCTCAAGGGCCAGTGATGGACCAGGCTGACACCAGGAGCCTGGAGCTCCATCCGGGTCTCCCACGTGGATCTGACACAGGCAGGGGTTCCTGGGAGGTTCCAGTGACTGACCTCCAGGACTTGCGGGGGATACAGGCCATAGAACCCCCAGGTGACCCCTCAGGAGCTCCCCCAGCTGGGACAGCTGCAGCTGCGGGGCTTGGGGGAAGAATCAGACACCTGCCAGCATGTGGCTCAGGCCACCCAGGCCCTCCCTAGGCTCCCCCTGCCAGGCTGCCACAGCGGTGGATTCCTGATGACCTCTGCCCAGGCACAGTTGGCCGCTTAATTCAGTGATGTATTTTAAGCACCTACTAAGGTGTTTGGCCCACAGTAGGCGCTTTGTGGGTGTTAGTTTTTCCTGTTCTCACCTGTGTCCCTGGAGGCATCCGTGTGCTCTCAGCACCTCACAGATCCTCCTACAGGGTGGACGCTCCTCTCTGACAACCGAGGAAAGGGCAGAGTTACGGAGAGGGAGAAAGATGAGATCTTACCGCCACTGACTTCCCGGAATGGATCTCCCACGTGGGAGGTGCGGTGCAGTGCCCACTGCTGCCACTTCCCCAGGCGCCTTAGCAGGGAGCTGGACAGGAAGTGGAGCAGCCAGGATTCAAACCGCTGCTCATGCTGTGTGCCAACCGCACAGGCAGCTGGTGTCACAGCACCAATCCTGAAAACACCTTTGCAGGCTGTCAGCTTTTACTTTTTTTAAAAGATGTATTTATTTTTATTGAAAGGCAGATTTACAGAGAGGAGAGACAAAGAGAAAGATCTTCTTTCTGATGATTTACTCGTTAGGTGGCCACAATAGACAGAGCTGAGCCAATCCAAAGCCAGAAGCCAGGAGCTCCTTCTGGGTCTCACATGCCGGTGCAGGTCCCAAGGCTTTAGGTTGTCCTTGACTGTTTGCCCAGGCCACAAGCGGGGAGCAGGACCGGAAGTGGGGTCGCGGGGACAGAAACCAGGGCCCCTAGGGGATCCTGGTGTGTGCAGGGTGAGGATTCTTGGTCCTTCCCTTCAGGTTTCTGCATTTCACCCTGTGCTGGCTGCACTCTGGCGAGCGGGATGAGCTAACGTCTGGTTTCCCGTCAGCAGACAGCGCTCAGGCCTTGGGTCTGTTTCTGGGCTGTTCTTTTGTTCTGACAGTGGAGAGCCTGAGAAGGCAGCAGCTGCCCCAGGGCCTTCCCGCGAGCCCCCATGGGGTGCCCTTGAACCCCAGTGAGCTCAACTGGCTCGCTTGCTCTCCGCAAGTCCTCCCCTTCATTTCCTGGCCCTTCTCCAGGTCTCTTGGAACTAGGACGTGCTGTGGTCCCTGAGGCCCGGGCACTCTGCCTCGCTTCTCTGCGGTCTTCGCCACCCCACATCCCCAGGTGATGGGGAGGTGGGCACCCGAGAGGGACCGGTGGTGGAAGGACAACCCCTGGGGTGCCTGCCACCCTCTTGGCTTAGCTCCTCACTATTCCCTGGACCCGCGGTCTGTCTTCCTCTGGCTAGGCTCCTCTGAGAACCACACCGTCCAGCTGTGATGTGATCCCAGTTACTTCTGCCGTTCGTGCTGCCTGTCGGGGTCTACGTTAGCATGAAGCTGGGTGTGGAGGCCCAGCTTCTCTGATGTGCAGTGAATGTGCCTTATGGGACCCCAATAATGAAGAATGACCCCCCCCCCGCCCCGTGCTCCAGCTGCGTGACCCCAGCCCTCCCCGAGCTTCCTCCCCCCACCCCCTCCCCTCTCCACCATGCATCTGATGAGCTCATTTAAGCAGCAGCTTGGTCTGCCCTGCTTGATGGAGCTGAGCTGATGCCCCAGGACAGTGAGGACTGACCCAAGGGCTCCTGGCTCATCTAGGGGG